TGTCACATGTATTTATAATAAGTAGGATATGTACTCAATATGTCCAAATCAGTTTTTATTACAGATTTTTTGGCATTGATGTATCTTCTCCAACAAATACTCCCAAAGATATAATCAGTTCTCAACTTCAAACAAAAATCTGAATATATCAGGTTTTGTACCTTTAAAATCCTTTGCCATGAAAACAACAAATGATATATGATTGTTTTGTTTTTATTTGCAGAAAAGCAACTGCAATATTAACACAGATGATGATAGATCAGAAACACAAACAAGCCAAGGCCAAACTTGAACAAGAACTCCAGCAAGACCTAGAGAAACAGCAGCAGCAAATTAATGAAGAATTGGAACAGGAACTTAAAAACCAACTAGAGGTAAAACAACACATTTGGAGACATTGAATGTGTACCAACAGAATATCATAATACATCATCTTTAAACATTGTGCTGTTCATTATATAAGGACTTTAATATTTAGTACAACCAAATTAAACATTTAAAAGTAATACAGAAAACTGCAAGTGATGAAGTTGTAGGTTTTATCAGATATACTCTACTCTACTCTACTCTAGAGGGCCGATCTTTCATTTTCACTTATTTTTCCTTATTTGTTGTTATCCTGAACAACTGTACATTATACACAAATTTTATTTCACTCATAAAATAAGGTGGCATTCAGATAAAAGGAATGGCACATCCCATAAGTATTTTGGCTAAAACATTTTCTTTGCTTACAAACAACATATTTTACTGTTACAGGAGCAGAGAAAGCAGTTACTTCACCAGATAGCTGCAGCTAGTAATTTGTCTAGGGATGAGATCAATGATCTCGTGGAGATGGCCATGTCAGGTAAGGATAAACAACAAATAGCTATTATAACTGACTTAACTGAAATTAATATTTAGAAATAAAAACCTAATTGACCTCATAAATCAGCTTTGACATTCAGACAGCCATCATGCCACAAACCCAGCACTATATCAACATTTATTTAAATGCCTGGATGGTTAATTGGTGTGGTTTCAATTCTAACTCACAATTAAAATGTTTATTTGGTAGCTAATTGTATTCATATCTTTGCATACTTTTATCTAACATGTTTATTTCAAGAGGTTTGGACAGAAATTTATTTATGATGTATAAGTTATTTATTATTAAGTATGTATTAATATATTAATAAATATTTATTATTAACCTAAGTACTTGCTCTAAAAGACAGCTGCTGATATGAATGCCTTATCTTTCAGATGCTGGAGCAAGCGAAAAACAAAAGTCTGCTCTAGCTAAGGAACTGCGGTTAGGAGCAAAGAAAGCTAAAACTCAACTAGGCATAGAAGATGAAACCAGATAGGCAGGCAGACACATAGACTAAGACTCTGTTCACATGAAAAATCTATTTTCTAAAAATCTATTTTCTATTCGTGGTATCTTGTGATCACTCCGAGCGCAGCCGAAAATTAATTACAGCTTTGGAAGTAACTGGCTTGCACTGCCAGTAATTACGCCGCGGGGTATTCAGGGCACAGACTGTGATCACAAGATACCGGGAATAGAAAATAGATTTTTAGAAAATAGACTTGTCATGTGAATGGAGCCTCAAACCCCTCTGTTTAACAACTCCCCAATTATCTCCACTTAATGGCTTCCAAAGCTACCACAGTTGGAATGTATTATAAAGGCATGAAGGGATAGCATTGTTGTTACCACGAATCCATTACCATGATAATGGATTTTTGAAACTGTTTCTGTTGAGCAAAGTCTGTAGTACAGTATTACCATTTATCATTTATAGCAATTAGACCATTGTGCCACCTTGTGATACCTTGTTCATCGTAAACTATGATGTTAAATGTTCTCCGTCCTTTCTTTTTTTTGTTGTGGAGTGATTTACACATAGAGCAAAATAACTGTGATATACTTTATGTACATGTTATACTACATGTACATGTGAGGATATTTTAAAGTGCTTTTATACGAATACTCCAGAATCTTTTAAATCAAATTTGTGCGTTTTCAAAGAAAACACCATGAGACAATCTGACAATTAATTAAAAGTTTTATTGCTGAGAGACAGGATTACATTAGGTATTTGCATGTACAAATTTTGAAGAATATTTACATCATTGTAATAGTACAGGAAGCATGAAATATTTATAAAAACTTTTTTTTTAATTATTATCTCTGATAAGTCACAACCACTCCCATAAAAAAAACATTCCACTTTTTGTATGTTTTGATATATGGACTTTATTTGAAATAAAAAAAAAATTATGCTAATAATACAAAGGGCTGTTATTTTAATTCTCCAAATTGTTATAGTTACATTTGTGGAAAAAAAGAAGTACTCACTTGGCTCACAATTTGTACATGAAATTCATGAGAACAGTTTATGTGCATAGTAATACAATTCCTGTTCCTTTTTTTCTTGTTTTTAATTTTTTCCTCTGACACTATGTCTAACTTTTTTAATACCTGGAAATTTATAATATACACATTTACACCAACTTCTTAGCCTCAAAAAATCCTTTTAGATGTCTCATTTGCCAAAATCCAGTTACAAGCAATACCAAGGTTTGAGCAATTGACCACCAAAGAACTCTCTGATTTGTGCTTTCACTGGTCTGTCTGAAGCGTTCTTCACGATACTGAAAAAAAAAATATTTAAGAAATACAGTTATGTTTAAAATGGTCCTGGTCCAGCAACTTACATATAAAATGTGATAAATATTTTGAAATTTGTGTTGCAGCACCAATTTAATGGAGCTAAAGACTCTTGAGGATAATACCCAATCATCAATCACAATTGTCTTTGTAAAAAATCCTCCAACTCTGATTAAACAATACATTAAACAATAACAGCAGTGTCAATCAATAGTTAATTCTTAAAATCTAGCATTAAATGTAGTATTCTGCCCTCCCGAACTGACTCCTACATACCCTTTGATAATTCTGCTCCTTTGTAATCTGTTCTACCTGGTCCAGCAACTGTCTTACACGGAGCTGAAGTTCAGTAAGTTTGTCCTTGGTAGCTATCTGAGGGTAGTCGTTAGCATGCTCTCCTACTTGAATGTCTAAGTGAACTCTCTGAAATTTGAAAGGAGTATCCATCAGATTACGAACTAGAGCTTACTTCGTCATATCCATCAGATTCCAAACTAGATCTTATTTCATCATTACTTGAGTATAACTTTTAACCATCAACTTTGCTTTCTCAATTCTTACTCCACAATCTGAACTTCTAATTATGACATCACCAAGAGGCTTTTGAAAAAGATTACTCAACTGCATTCACTCTTAAAGAATATTTGATATACCAAAATCGTCAGCAAAATTGCCAAAAGCATATCAATTACTACTAATAAGTTTGCAATTCAAATTCTTACCAGCTGGCCACCTCCAAACCAGGCAGATGAATTAGAATGCAGACAAATGGTGTGTTCTCCTGCTGTGTGAGATGTGAATGTGTAGCGGCCATCGGAAGCATATGTCTAAAATGACAGGGGGAATGTGTATTTAAAGATGGTTAACGAGTTTTTCATTTTAAAATTAAGTTAAACCTTTTTATAAATGTACAGTTACGGTAAAACTTTCTACTTACTTTTGAAATGATAAGAAGTTAAAAATATACACCATTTAAAAATATTCTGAAAATTTAAAAACAACGTCAAACTGAATCTTACCCTGGACAGAATAACCTTTTCATCTGGGTCCTTCACCTCAACATGCATGCCTAAACCACCTCCAGTTGGAAGGAAGGCATTTTGACTTCTATCAAAGATTTCTACCTTGTAATTACCTGGGGAAAATGGATGTAACATATATATAAACAAAACATATGTGATATGCTTTCTTACATCAAATGTATAAAAATTCTATTAAACAAAAATTCCACTTCAAAGATACTTTCAACTAAAAAAAGTATTAATGAAGGACAGCAGCTGTGTTTCACACTAGCCATATGGCTGATCCTATTGGGCTGGTCCTAGTCAATTTGGCAAGTGCTTTAACAGAGAGGGGATATTTATACTATAGCAAATTCAAATATCCGTAAATCACCAGATGCAATTTCTACTTCATTTATGATAACAAAAAGTCTTGTTCATAACTTTTGAACATAATGCAAAAGCCTGTTTACTATTTTAATAAAAATTATGAAAAGATTACAACGTTTAGACTTTAAACTCACCTACAACCATAGTTTCATCTGGGATTTCTTCAATAAAACATTTCTTCTCCGTTTCTCCGATGTGGAAATAAAGTCCAACAACAAGTTGCAACATTAACAGTTGCAAAAACAAACTATACAAATGTCTTATTGAAATCATCTTGTGGTATCGAACTTTCGTCTGCAAGACTGTACTGAGTATGTCGACGTTGCACTAAACTAGCCGGTTAGAATTCTTGGACTTATCTATAATGGTTGTAAGCCCTTGTCTGAAACGCAAATTGTCTGTTTATGTTCCTTTATGGTGTTTTGATCCTAAGATTAAGAAAAGCTACTTAGCACCCGTCCCTAACACCACCAACAACTGTCTCTTCTCCTGCAGCAGAATGCCACGTAAATCCGTATCCAACATGGACGGCGACACGAAAGGGTCTCGAAGGGACGTTTGTTACTGTTGAGCAATTAAATTGCAAGCATTTAATCTGCAATTCGACCATTTTCTCTGTTATTCAATATTTATTAGTAATTTATGATATATTTTTTGCTTAGAGAAGTCACAGCTAAACTTTTGATTTCAAATTATATTATTTTTCTGCGTGAGTATTTATTATTCCCGTTCCCTTTCGAGTCTCCTTAGCAGCATGTCAAACGCATGGGGCACCGTTAAAACTTCCAAAAAAGAAAACTCAGCATAAGGACAGAATATATAGATTTCTGATATTCATCCAAAGTAAAAAGAATATTTTAACTAATAAACTATAATAAGTCAGTTTGTTTTACAAATACCTGGCATTAAAGTGTAATAATAACAGCTCTTCATAATTATGTCTTTCTGCGCGTGTTTAGAGCTGCCAGCTGGATAAACAGTGTGAGAAGAGTGAGCAGTGAGAGTGGGATGGGTGTTAACTTTTGAGCGAAGCATTCAGCAAAATGTCGCTCGAGGTTAACGTAATAAGTGCATCAAATGTGCCAAAAGAGACTTTTGGAAAGAGTGATCCATATGTCAATATAGAATTTCAAGGTAAGTTCTGTCTTGTTGCAAAGTTAATGAAAGTTAGGAAAGAATGTACTCTCGTACTTTGGAAAGTTCGCCGGTGGCGGTGGCAGGTCTCCTGAAGTTGTGTTAAATGAAAAGTTAATGCTGTGCAACGGGTGACGCTTTCCCTTACTTATTATTTGGCTAGACTAAAACTTAAAATTTGTGTTGAATGTGGTTTTCTTTATTCCAAATACTATTAAAATATTTGTTAGACACTTTACACGTACGGATTTGGAAGTTTGTTGACGAGGGGTGGGGCGGTAAAAGGGTGAGGGAGTGATACAAAGTTAAATGAGACAAAATGACACCATTCCTCTTGTTCGGCATCTTAACATATTAATTGCCTTTATTTGTTTGTTTTAATTGGATGTGGATGGGGCACGCACCCATTTGTCCCCCCCCCCCAGTCCGACCCCATTCCACCCACAACTACTTTTTCTATACCAGTATATATACTGTATATCAGATATTGATGGTAGTTATATTACCTGACATGTACCCAGTTCATAGTGCGCAAGTTTATTTGATTCATTCTTACTCAAAAAGGGTGGGATTTAAGGAATATTCCCCATGAATTTCGAAAAAAAAATTATCTAAAATTAAGGTCAGGGGTTTTTTATACTTAAACACTATACGTTATACATGATGCACTGTATCTGGCTCCTTTGCTGTATTTAAATTTTTTGTATAGTTTTTTATTTATTTATTTATTTATTTTATTTTTCATAAGTACTTTTTTAATTAATTTTTTGTTTTTTGGAATGTCAACCTTATGTGTCAGCATGAGTTGACTGTAAAATCTTAACATCCTCTTTGCTTACTAATTCTAAGGGCATTTAACAAAAATACTTTGGCTCATGTTTTGTTCAACATCCATATTAATGCTGCACATTCTGTAAAGCAAACAATCTGAGGAGTCTGTTGAACAGGGCCATGTGTTTTATCAGTAGTTACCAAGGCAGAAATGTATTTTTTATCTCCATAAAGATCTTGTTATTGTGATAAGGGTCAAGTCTTTTTACTGGATAACTTTTGATTTACCTGTGAAATTAAGTATGTCAGCAGGGAAACAAGTAGTATCCTAATAGTTCTTTTTAAAATGTAAACTTTTTGAAGACCTTAAATGATAAAAAGTTTTGGTGATGTTTTTACCACTCTGTTATTGATTGGGTGAAAAACACTAAAATTGTTTATTTTTAAAAAATGTTATCTTAGAGAGTTCTATATTCGTCATTTATAGTGTTTTATATTTAATGTGTCAGTATATGTGTTAGTAGTTTTGTTGCTTAATCTATTGGGAGGATTGTCATTTCCTGATAATGTATCAGCTGGTTAAACATTGTCAAGTCTTTTCTATGTAAAGCCACATTTTGCATTAAGTTAACCACAACTAGGGAAGTGAAAGAAGAGGAAAGTTCTAGTCTAGAAAGTTCAATAATTTAAGTTTCAGCAAGTCTTCTCAAAGTTTTCAAGCCAAAGTGTTTATAGCATAATTTGCCTGCTGTTATCATAAATTATACACTTATTGACACTTCATACAGTTTCCAATGATTTTATTAAATGATAGTTAAGTATATAAAGATTGAATTGTCTCCTCTGTTACCTGATATTGGACCTCAGAAAATGTTAGCAGACAGTGAGAATGAAATCTAAATAGATTTGGTCATATGAAGAACATTTTTTCCCTCATGATCTCATTATCAAATTGTTTGTTGTAAACTAGTACATTTCCTGTCATGTTGACACAAACTTGTTTGCCAGTTGTCTTCTTTTGTGTTTTTATTTTATTATGAGATGTTATGCTGGTAATTTTATGCTCCACCTATTATTGTACATAGGTAGGGTATTCTGGTGATAACCTGATAGGAAGTGACCGGAATTTCTGGCTTATCAGATCACATTTTGTTGTCTCCATTCAGAGGGACATTCCCTCATGGTGACATGGATTGTGTTATCTTTAGCATGTGGGTGTTAGGCCTGTATGTTTGGTTATTTTTAACCTGTAAGCAACCACTTACTTTGCCCTTTGCTAGCATATATATAGAATATTGTTAAATTATTAGAGAAACAAATGATAGGATTTTGGCCTAAGTTTTATCTTGACATCATTGACATACAGGGCTTATCCCATGATTGGGGGGTACAGGTCATTCAAAATTACCACTTGTAATTTCCTACAAAATTTCGGGGAGTCCCAAGTATGCCCAAAGCCATCATATTTCCAAAAAATCCATTAGCCGTCCAATCGTCTTAAAAAATTTAGGCCAACCACTGGCAACCAGTGATGCTGGCAGTTGTCCAAATGACGGCTGGATGGTTCGCTGGGAAAACCCTTTTTGACATGTTTATAATATCTATTAATTGTCACTTTAGCAAGTTTCAATAAAGCCAAGAAAAATATGAATTAGGTACATAATTTTGAGAAGACTTCTTCATTTGATGAATTTTCACTGATATCAGTTACATTATAGTATTAACTGCCATAGAATATCATGTATTTTAATTGCATAAAGGATATGGATGTTTCTTTTTGTGTTATTCAGCCAGAAAGGTGAAATTTGTTTGTTTGTTTGTTTGTTTGTTTGTTTGTTTGATTCAATTGTGTTTTAGATGCCCAGTTAATGCCACCTCTATCAAAACCTCTAAACATTCAGTTTTTATTGTTTTATTTGAAATTCAACTGATTTATATTCTTTATTCCTTAATAGGTATCAAAAAGAAAACTGAAGTGATCAAAGATGAAGATAACCCTGTATGGAACCAAGTGAGTATTATATATATTAATTTTTCTGTTCAATATTTTTTTTAAGTTGGGCCATTAATAAGGATGACAAATACTGGCAGTTTGGAATGATAATGAAAAATTTGCTAGTTCATATCCTTTTTTAAAATGGCCCAGATGGAAATGATAGTCAAATTATATTTGGCTTGCACTTAAATGGCCTTAAATATGAACTTTGGAGAACAATAATGTTATGAATATTTATATGTTATGTAGGCACATTGATTTATTTGTTTTGGACATTTTGGACCATGTGACAGTTTGGTATCTGTTAATTTATGTTTGTTTAAACTAACAGCACATAATAGAATGAGACAGAATTTACCTTGAAAGTATAAAATTATAATGCTTTTTACATATATATTGGCATGGTTACATTATAACTGATCGATAATTATGACCAGACAGCTGTGCATGCAGATGCCGGATATTAAATAATAACAGCTTATTTCACATATTATTAGTCATGAATGAATGAACATATTAAGCTTATGGCATAAAGAGGAAATTGATATACTATAAAACATATCCGGGTAACATGTCAGATCAATTGTCTCTGCTCACATACCCGTATACTTGAGAAACTGAACTTTTTTCAGCTAATTGTTATAGTGCAATCCTCCTTCCATTCTAATCTTGTTCAAAATCTTAAAATCTTTAAATCCAATTTCATTTTTTTTTTCGTTTTTTGGAAATAAAAGCTTTTAGTGTTAGGTTTCTCATAGACAGATAATAGATGCCAACAGTTTAAGTAACTAATCAACAGGTAAATGCTTCTCAATACACATGCATAAATTATTTAACATGTTATTAATAGATTAAAATTAAGAGGCAAATAAAAAGAGAGGGGGGTGCCCAGTGATGCTTTGCATACAACTTGAATTTGATTTTATATTAAAATTAAATCCACTCTGTGTGTGTGTGGGGGGGGGGGGGTTAATAGTGAAGCTTTTAAAATGAATTTGATTTTACATTAAAATGAGCTTCATATTCTATTCTCTATTGTAGAGCCTGGTGTTTGACCTCCAAGGCAATGCCCTATCACCAGGAGACCAGCTGGAGGTGCAGGTCAAAGACTGGGAGAAGATTGGAAGAAACAGGTATGTTATAGTGTGTGTGTGTGTGTGTGTGTGTGTGTGTGTGTGTGTGTGTGTGTGTGTGTGTGTAATTAATTATGCTCACATTGGTAAAAAATTACAATTACAAACTGTCCTGTATGATTTCTAGAGTGCTGGTAAATAGCACAGTCTTGACAGGGTATTTTTGTGTAGGCATGTTTTTGTTGGTATTCATGTGTATATGCAAGCGTGAAATAACATTAAAAAATTAAACAAAGAAAGGAGCACCAGGTGCAGTCTTATAAACCAGGTCTGTGGTACATACACTCAGGTGGTTGTGCAGGTGTGTGTCCCATGTTCCAAGTCTCTTCAGGAAGATTTTTTTAAGATGCATTATTAGTTGACTCAATAAATTTACCAAAGACCTGAATGTCTGAGCCTCAGAGGAGTTTTTATCTTATACTAGTACCATCCTCAGTCAACATAGGAGTGTATGCTGTAATAATTCAGGGGTGGATGGAAGTTGTCTTCTGGAATTTGGTCAGAATTTTTCAAGTTTACACTGTGTCGAGTATCTAATTTTCTTTTTTTGTTGGTTAAAATGGAAGATGGATCAACAGAGATAATTTGGAAGATCATGAGAAAATATCTCTAATATTGTTAGATCTTAGAAGTAAGGTTATCATGTGCTTGTTCACTTTGTTTCAGGCTCCTAGGTGCAGTAACAGTACCCTTGAAAGATGTTCAGACGGGCAGTCATGCAGTTGAGCTTGACCTACCTTTGCAAGATGCTAATAAGAGAACCTTGGCAGTAAGTGCCCAGTTCTGTATGATAGTCATGCTATTTTTCTCCATCTAATAACACACTGCATGTTTAGACTGGATGGTACTTATGGCATAACCTACTATTGTCCAGACTGGAGAAAAATGTTTGGAATCTAAATATATGTCTGGGCATTACTATATTGATATGTGTGCCACTGTCATCTGTTATGTGATGGTAAAATTATAGTTCTGTGCTTGCAGGCCTTTTGAATATGGAAATGTATTTCTCTGCTAAATGAGAGTAACATGTACTGGTATTTAAAATTTGTCCAGTTAATTGAGAAGATATGATGTCAGGAAATGTAGAAATAATTGGGGAACCTTGTAATTGGCTTTGGCACAAATGTCAGCAACATAAGGTGTTTGTTTGTTGGTAGCTATTAATCTGAGTTCTGAATGGCATCGACTTATACTTTTTGTAAATTGTTTAGGTTTAATTTTACCACTTATTGCTTCTAGTTATGAGTAGTACACCTTTCAAATGGATGGCAAAACTGCATAAGTACTCTCAAAACAAACACATAAATTACTATATGTCAGATTGTTCACTGAAATCAAATATAGCATCTTCCTGAAATAGATGTCTTTTTTTGTCTTCAGCATTTTTTATGCCAGTGTAGACAAAACCTATAAAAAAGACATCACAATAAGTTAATGGAGAATTTTACTTATCCCTTGATAGATATATATATGCTTTACCTTCACCCGAGTCAGAATTAAACTGCAAATGTAGTATCATAACTAAAAATTAAATATTATATAATTATAATTTTTGCTCATAAGGACCATCATTTTAATCATCTAATCGTTTTTGCCATAGTGTGACTCTAAGTACAAGTTTTAATGTACTTTATTTTGAGGTATTTGTTCTATTGTATGCTGGCTTTGCATTGATGCCTCAGTAATTTTGCAAGTTAGCCACCAACATTGATTGAAATAAAAGATTACTTCATGGCATCAGTGATTTATAGTGGGCAATATATTTAACAACACAAAATGTTGTGGTACTTAGTGATGTTTTTACAAAAATGATTTTGTCTTTGAAAACAAGATCTGTCAAACTAGTTACAGTATAGTGATATGCATTTGACTATTTTGTAATCTAATCTAGATGATAATATTCCAATCTATAAAATCCTGATATACATGTAGCATGACGTACAAACCAGTATACAATCATTTCAAATGGTGATTTTTATTTTAAAAATAGTGGAACTTTTTAACCCCCTTAGTTGACCCAACTTGAAAGATGGAGTTGAAGCTTGGTCAAGTTTTGATTAAGAACAGGCCCTTTTCAAGAGAAAGTGCAGTTCTTTCTAACCCCCCCCCACCCCCTGACCCTTCCTTCAGGGATGATATACATTGTATAACATGATCAGACTATAATATAAAGTGGCTGCTAGTGTAACTTTCCTATGAAATAACCCTCTTCTTAACCTAGTGTCTTTAAGTTTCTGATATATGTATGTGTTAATGTTTTTTCTGCATGCAGACAATATGTTTATCAGTCCATCCATGACATACCTGTCCTTCCTATTGTCTGTGCTATATAATTCACGATTGGAACATCGATAGCATGCTTATTTACAAAATACATTAGTTGGAATTTCTGCTTAGAAGACCGTTGTCTTTTTAGTATGTTATTATTTCTATCGGCTGATTGTTGGTAGCAGTTGGGATATACGGGAGCCAAGTGCCTCTTAAGTTTGCTTTAAAATTCATAGGATTTTTTTTTTTTTTTTTTTTTTTTTTCATATAGACATGTTGAGAAAATTTAGGTATTTAAACACCTTTCTCCACCCCTTGTTGAAATTCTGAACACGTCAGTTATATTTTCTACAGTGGTCTTGTTGCTGTAAATATATCTATTCCTGAAAGCACAAACAATAAAAAAAATACCCAAACTACCCTTTTTTGCAGACATATTGGAATGTTATTACCATTTTTATGGGACATAAGTATCCAATTAAACCATTGGTAAAAAGAGAGGAAATTAATGACAAAGCTTATCAAAAGTGGAGAGCTGCATTATTGTGTATATGACTTGCATTGTAAAATTATAGTACAGTACAATCAAGAACAGATGTGGGATTTTTATGCCCTTGGAGATAGTTAAAATAGTTTCAGAAAAAAAAAAAAACATTCCGGATTCCAGAGCATGGGAAGATTAACCCTTACTTGACAGTACAATATATTTGAACCTTTCATTATCAGTTATCCTGCAGTTGTGTTAAGTTCTGGTTTATACATATTCAATTTGTATTGCATAGACAGTAAGTTTTGCTTTTAAACAGAAAAAAAATTACAAAATGTAGAAATTAATATTTCTGCATGAGACACCATTACTATTTTGATTGGTTTCTTTCTAAAAACTAAATGTTTACAAATGTGCCAGCTATGAGCAATATGAGACCTATATTTATAAGTAGTTCATCTTAGACTGATGTTTAAGTTTTTTCAATGTTTTTTTGTGTCTCAGACACTATATTGTTCGACGCAATTCTTCCTGGGTAAATCAATGCTGGATGTTTTAGCCAAAATTAGTTAAAATTAAATAGGTATTAACTTAAAACGACTCAAACAATTAAACCAAATCAAGAATTCCTAAGGCACAGTGGCAAAATGTCTGTAACCATTTCAATTTCTTCAGCCTCATGGTTTTTGACATTTTCAAACACTTAACAAGCTGATTAAAGGGCTTGAGTTTTTTTTTTCTTTGATAAATATGCAGTTCTTATTACTATATGAAAACAAACTGATTGCAATTTTTAAAACTGTATAATACTTTACTTGTTGCAATAATTAAAAACCTCCATTACAATTAGTTTCCTATGTTGTACTTTCCTATTTCAGTCTGTAATAAAGAGCTCATATACCGACCCTTAAAATTCTAGACATATGTTATTAATAATAGAAAAACATAAAACACCATGTCTGTGTTTTATGGGTGTAAGAAGGGGATCTTTAGACTGTCAGAACCAGAAGCTTTTTGTGACATTGACTGAGATGTCTTCATTCTCAACACCATTATTCATTCAACACATTATGAATTTTAGAACTTCGCCAAATTAAATGTGTTAATATAATGACCACATATTTTGGTTGGTCTAACCCCGCACTCAAGTTGGCATATCACTTTATACATCTGACATTCTAAAACAGTTGCCATAGGTATTTGACCACATAAGTGAAGTGGTCAGTTTTAAGGCACATTAACATTAAGCAAATTTTTTTATCTACTGGTATGTGCAGGCTCTTGCTCATTAAATGGTCACCAGTGGCACTGCTGACGCTTTTTTTTTCCCCTTTTTTTAAGTCGGAACCCATGCATGAGAAATGACAAAACAACTTGTTTATTTTTTGTCTAGATTTAAACTTGTGTGAACCTGGTTTGCATCTTGGTCTGCTTTCTAAGATGTAATGGAAACTTGACTGCTAGCCCCTGGTCAAGTTTATATGGCTCCTGTGACTTATTTACTGCTAGATATACTCTGACACTGTTATCTGGGAAGATCTGTGACTTCATATATGTCTTTAATATTTGTAGAGAAGTGATATTATTATATAGTAAAAAGAGTTGTTTGGCACAGTTTTATTGATTTTATTAATTTATTTATTTATTTAGTTTCCAGTATATTGTTTATTTTAGGTGAATTTCTTACATAATAACTAGCCCATTAAGTTGTCAAACTCTCATCCTATTAAATGCCCAGCTTGAGGTGAAAAGGGCCAAAAAAACTTAAGGGCTATTCTAAACAACCTTTTTTAATTTCACTGGAATAATTGATTATAAGACCACTCATACTGTATTGCACACAGTGAGAGTTAATCAACTACCACCACTACTACACATACTATTTTATTTCAGGCCTCCATTAAGCTGAAAATTGTGTACAGTCCACCTATACAGAAACAAACTGCTGCAACAGCGGATGCTGCTCCAGGTATGTGCTAAATAAAACATTATTTGTTTTGATTTATAGTCTATGTTAACAATAACATTTATTGTTTTGAATTTTTGGTCCATCATTACATAAGCAAGCTAGGTTACGGTGCTGAAAATAGAAAAAAAATCTGATGCTAGTCAGGTATAACAAAAAAATTGATTGTGTGCTGTCATGCAGCAAATATATTTAACCAGTGTGTAATGTCTGTGAATTGTAACTAAGATGAGACTGCAGTTTTATTATGTTTTTTTTTTTTTTTTCACTTTATTGGCTCTCTACTAAGCTCAAAACAATATAGGCTTTTACTTACTTTGACCCACAATATAATTTTGTTTTTCTATTTCCAGTTTATGTTTTGCAAATTATTTGAAAATTGTCCTTATTTAACTGTAAAATGTATAAAACTTTCATTTTCAGATGAAGTTGGTGGAGGTATAGTCGAGGATGGAGAAGAGGATGAGGATATGGAAGGAGATGAAGGTGATGCTGCTGATGGTGGTGATGCTGCTGATGGTGGAGGCGGGGTACCTGGTGCCCCTGGTGGGGGGAAGAAAAGGAAAAGAAAAAGGAAGAGGTATAGAGGGAAGTTATCCAACAAACCTCAGGATTTCCAGGTAACTGCTGTTGAATAATTAAAAGATTATAATAACTTGAGAGTTTATGATCTTATACAGATGGACAGATAATAAGGTGAAGAATATATAAGATCTGATGTCAGTTTATCTATGCAGGTGATTGTAAACATTTCAAATGTAGTGATTTGTACTTTTTCCTCTTGATCATAAGACTAAAAGTGTTAGCTTTCAACCACTTCTGTGGTCTATCTTAAACTACTGGTAACTGCATGATGTACCTGTGACAAATGCTTCTTTCAGTGATATAATCCAGAGAAAAAAATAATAATTTAATTTTATTTCTAATCATTTTAAATACAATTTTTAATGAACATTTATATTTACACAGAATGAATGGGAATGGGGTTTTGGAAGATTATAGTTACTGTATTGAAATGTTTCACTGTTTGGTACACATGGGAGGTCCTATCTCATCAGTTATCATCAGCAGTGACTCCCACCCTTTCTGTTATCAGGACCATATTGTTGAATCACAGCCTGTGAATTCAATTTTTGATTTCTATTTCATATATTGATATGATGTTACCAGTTTTCATTTCAGAATAGATCCTGTCTGACTCATTGTGCTCATTATACTTATATAAATAGAAGTAATGCTAATTTATTTCTTTAAAACAAACCACACAACACATGCATCTTAGTGCTGCTCATTTAAAACCATTTAGACATTAGAATTAGAACTAAATATGCAAATAAATAGATATATTATCATAAACCTACACATTTACATCTGACTGGTAAAGATAATTGAAAATGTTTTCTGAGCTAGCACAAGTATTTTCTACATCAAACTTTTTGCTTCTTTTAAACCTACAGCAACCACAGCCTTTTCATGGTAATCTTTTTAAGTCCATCTCAGATATTTTTTAGTTACATGTACTATTCAAAACAGTTTCCATTTCCAAAGTCACACTAAAATTTAAGTGACAATTTATCAGGTTTGATTAACAGTGCCATACATCTCTTTTAAATCTTCATCCTGAGAAGTACAAAATTCAATAAAGATATCAGTAACAAACACAATATATATTTGATATATTATTCCCAAACTAGGAGATCTTATAGTTATACTTAAACCAGGCAATCAAATTGGTAATCTTAATGATTGATAAGAATCCCTAACTATGGTGTAACTAAGATTTTATGGTGATCAGTGAAGTATGATATTCTTTCCTTTCTTATGTCACCTTAGGTGAGGATCAGAGTGACAGAGGCCAGACAGTTACAAGGCTCTAACATTCACCCCGTGGCACAAGTCAGTGTCTACAACCAGCTAAAACAGACCCATGTGAAGAAGTCCACTAACTCCCCCTACTGGAATGAGGTCTTCTTTTGCAACTTTCATGCCTCACCTGCAGAGCTGTTTGATGAGCTGGTTGAATTCAAGGTGAATTCTTTTAAAAGTTTTATTTTTCCACCAAGAATACATATAAAAGCTTAAGACAATAAGGGGAGTTGTGAGTTGTACTTTCAAGGGCATGATTGAAAATTTTTGAGTTGATGTTAAGTTATATTGATTTTTTCTTTCAGGTATTTAATTCTAGAAAGCTGAGATCAGATGCCTTGCTTGGGTCCTTCAAGGTAGGTTGCACAAAAATAAAGGTGTCATAATCATTGCATCATCACTGAATTAATTAATAAAATTGTTGCTTTGATGTTTTACTAATAGCACAGATATCAATGGCTTTGACCATTTAAGTACTATGAAATTAATGTAAGATTTGTTAAAAATAAATAAATTTCTCAAAATCCTCAAGCCTTATATTTCGTGGCAAAGTGAGTTTTTCACTTCATACCCTCTTGTGTAATGATGATAGTCTCTTAACAAACAACTAACTTCATTATCATCACTTATTCTGTATTGTAGTTTGACATTGGTATGGTGTACGAGTCTCCAAAACATGCCATGTTGAACAAATGGCTATTGTTGACAGACCCAGAGGATCCTATGGGAGGATCTAAAGGTTACCTCAAGATGTCCATCGTGGTCCTAGGCCCAGGGGACTCTGCTCCTGTAAGTTGACAAGTTGTGTTTGCATGCGTGCACAGGCATGCCTTTGTGAGTGTGTGTGTGTGCATGTATACGTGCATGAATCTTATTAATTAAAAGTGATCTTCACTCATTGTTTGGATACCAAATGAATAGTTTCTAGACATTCAAGCTTTAAAACTTTATTTTGTAAAATTAAAGATGGCCATGTTGCGTGGAAAATGAAGAATATTTGATATTTTTATTCAAGGATTTCAAGACCTCTGGAAAGGATGAAGAGGAAGACATTGAAGCGTAAGTAACCATGTTATCTTATCCTGTTTCTTGTTGTACGTAATTGTCTGATATGATTGCAATTTTCCGCTTTTTTTTACCCCTGCCTTTTTTCACACAAGGATTCCACTTTCAGATATATTTGAATGTTTCATGTCCATGTCATAATAATTTGAAAGTCCTAGCACATATTGTACCAGTTGGCAAATTGCGCTTTAATTTTCATATTATTATTATTTATTTTAGAAACTTGTTGCGACCTGCAGGAGTGAAGCTGCGGCCAGGAACCTTCACATTGAGACTGTACAGAGGAGAAGATATACCCAGGAGTGAGTAGGCCTTTCTGTCATGGAAGCTTTTCTATTTGTACTCCCTGATTATTTTTTGGCTGTCAGAGACTGTCCAAACACCTCATATAATTTTGAACAAATAAGTTTCAGTTAAAGCTTTATTTTTTGTTTGTTGTTTGCAAATGGTTTATAAAGTAGGCATTATTATAATAATTTTATTTAAATTTTTTTTTTCTTTTCTTACAGTGGATTCAGATCTGATGCAAGGAGTGAAGAAATTACTCAGAATTGGAGAAGAACAAAAAGAACTTGTTGACCCTTATGTTATCTTTTCTTTTGCTGGAAAAGAGGCAAGTTTTTTTTCCCCCATTGGAATTATTTTCTGAAATCATGCGTTTAAAAGCATTTCATATTATATATGAAAAAAAAAAAAAAGTTCATTCATTTCAAACATTGTGATAAGGTAGAAATATTAACTCTGTTGGGAAGTAATGTAAATTATTTGATTCAAAAATGGAATTTTAATATATTCTATATTTTAGGTATCCTCCAAGACCTTATACAACAATGCTAATCCAGAGTATAACCAAGAGCTAAGACTTGGACTGATGGTATGATTTTAAAAATACTTGGATCCTTGTTACTATAGAAATCGACTGTGATGCAGTCTAACATATATTAAGTGTTATCAAATGAGTTAATACATGGGTTGTTCATCATCATGTTTGCTTATGGACAGCATAAAGTGCAGTATGTTATAGTCTATCACATAAACAATTGTCAGTTAAAATCATTTTCATTTTATATTGGAATATTAAATTATTTCTTTTTGGGACTGTGTACATTTTATTTATTAATTTATTAACTTATTTATATAATGTTATTTGTTTTTGAAATGGGCAAGTTCTCATTATCCCCCTTGGTGTCTATTTAGTTGTATGTCTGTATTTACATGAACACAATTGACTTCATAAAGACAGATTGTGTATCGGCTGGAGTAAAGTATTTGGCAATTTTGTCCATTGTCTATACGATAGGTACTGGGAATACATACGATTTTCACTCACTCGTGGAGTATATAGTGTGGCCTAGGCCTATTGTGTTAACTGTGACACCGCCATTTTGTACCGTAGTTTTATGGGAGTTTACCTGTATCATCAAAAAGGTTGAAATGTGCACAGTCTGTCAGTTCCTATTAATTATTAATTAATAAGTTTTACTACATTTTCCCTGCCTATTCATACCTTATCTCTGTGTGTTACAAGTCTACATTTTGGCTTGATCCTTCTAGAAAAGGTGTGTTTTGGGTCAAGCCCCCGAGTCGTGTTTGCCGCTTCGCAGATCACGTGACCCTCATTTCTGCTTTTTCGTCTTGCTTCGTTTAAGATGGAATAATGCGTTCAGACCTTTGGACGGCTGGAATAATCTTCTCACTTCTTTATGAGCAAATACTTTCCTTAACAAACTACATCAGTTCTCAGTGCCAAAATTTCAGTCTACCATTAATTGATTAACTTATTTATATAATTTTATTTGTTTTTGAAATGGGCAAGTTCTCATTATCCCCCTTGGTATCTATTTAGATTTATGTTTTTATTTACAGTTTCCATCCATGTGTGAGAGAGTTAAACTACAGGTGATGGATTGGTAAGTAGAGAATGAACACAATTGACTTCATAAAGACAGATTGTATATTAATGGTTTCGGTGTCATTGAGACTTATGTGTTTTGGTAAAGCCTTGATGACCATAGTTTTCCATATTATATTATTATATCCATATGATGAATTGTAATTAGACTGAATCAAAATAGAATTATGCTGGTAGCTTTAGAGAAAATTGAGTGATGAATTGTCAAAAGTCATTATTGAAATAAAGGTATTTGCACAGCTGTATTTAAAGCAGTTAATTTTTTGGCTTTATTCAAAGCAAGTTATTTGTGAATTAATGCAGGATAGACACCACTTGATAATAATGAAGACTGGATGTAATTCAGTTCAGTTTTATTTACTATGTGAAATACTGTGTGAAGGCAGACATTTTCCTCATTAAATCTTGTAATTTATACACAGCATAACACCAGTTTTGTGTAGCAAGAAAAAGGTAGTATACTTAACATGAGATTTACATTGTAACTATTCCAAATAATACCCAACATAATGTATTAATGTTCATTCATTTATTACTGACTAGATTATATATTTTGCACACCAGTTCTGTTTCACTTTTAATATGTCTGTTATGATTTGAAATATGTATCGTCAGTCTTGGTTTAGTTGTTTTTATTGTTGTCTGTTCCAAAAATTGCGAAACTCTTTTGTTGTTTTTTATTGAACATGTTAATTCATTTCAGTATTTGTTCAACCATTGTTATCCCAATGAGAGAGCAATTTATAATTATAGTAAACTCTACTGTGAAATTGGACTTTTTTTTTGTCAACTGTTAACATTGACTCACGTGTTTGCTTAATTAATATGATTCACACAAAATGATATAATTTATTTTAATATTATTAATGATATATAGAATATGCAGGGTTTGGTTATGTCAGCATTTATGATGAATTAATACAATTATAATGCTTTTGTTAAAACTGGTACTATTTTTGATAAAACTGGTAGTATATTTAAACTGGAATAGTGACATCAACCTCTGATGCAATAAAAAATGCTTTTGATGTAACACTTTATTGTAAGGATTAATCACATTCAGTTCATGCACTTTTGGCTATGTTTAATGGTTTATTTGCTTTTTTTGTACTTATTGATGTACCCCTGCAGCTTGTAGAATGTTGAGATATTATTCTCCATAGACTTATTGCTGCCCAGTTCAATATTTAATCCTTGAATATTAATTGACAAGTAGTCATGTCCAAATTTAAGATCTTCATTGTAAGGCTAGTGTCCCTATGAGTTGAATTTTAACAAAATTAAATGAGCCAGTGCTATACATAATAGTAAAAGCAAAAAATAGTCTGTTTTCTAATTATTTTTAATTAATGCTTTTTTATAGAGATTTGGTATTTGTATTTAATTGCACAAATTGATTTCTTTTCATCAGGGACAGAGTGTCAGAAGATGATGCCATAGGGGCCTTTTTTCTTCCCTTATCACTCATTTCTTCCCCTGGAGAAAGTGGTAAGTAACCCTGATTTTGCCACATTATTATTGATATTAGATAAGCATTTGATTAAAATGCAGAAGACTTTCCACATTTGACATAATTTGGTGCTCTTTCTTGCGTTGAAAGTTAAAAGTTGAGCTATTTGTATTGAATTTTTGTTCTATTTTGCATTGCGCAGAAGACAAGGCGTTTGAGGGTAATTTTTCCTTGGGTGCTAGATGTGCTTTAATTTGTCAGCATTGTTACTTTGTCTTATGTCTGGTGAATTAGTTGTTTTCTTCTGCGTCCTTTCTATACATTCATGGTAGAAACTGCAATCTGAGACCCAGTTGAAACTTGGATTGCATTTCCTAGAATAAGAATTGCCATCAGAGAAGTGCTGATTTCTACCAGCAGAGACTTGAGTATTGGAGTATATATATGTGTATTATTAGTACATACCAGAGATATGCACTTGGAAAATGTACTACTTATCTGTAGCTGGGGCTGTTTTAGCATATATCTGTTGAGTATTTGTAAAATAGATATTGAAGTACATGTACATAGTATTTCCCATTCTCTTAGCCAGAACACTTTATTTTATATATATATATAGATAGATAGATGGATATAAATATGGATATTTAGTGATTATATGATTAGTAGTATAGCATAGCTTTAGTACAATCAATTTTCTCACTTCTCCATGTTTGCTTGGGTTTTAAAAATAAATTTTTGCAAAAACAACATATTTCAGCCATTTTTTTAAAATTAGCCTTTTCCTTATTTGACAAATATTGAGTGATTGTTGGTGTGGTTGAATTTAAAATTGTTCTTTCTGGTGTCAAATAATATGTCCTGTCTGGTTGGGTTAGAGGTGGGTGCCAGCTATATCGGTTAGTTTTAATTATAAACCTCCCCTTTCCAACTCAAATCTTTGATATAAGAAACCGAAAAGAAAGGAATCTCCGCTCATCAAAAAAGTTGATGTTCCGTTATTGTTTTGCTCTCTATTTTGGATTGAATTCATTTATTTTGTCTGATATTGCCAGAAACTTCAGAGGAACCCAGTGTTGGTGAGTTTTTTGTTTTCGCCCAATAACACATTCTTGCTCTTGATATAGGCCAGGTTCAGCTAGACTTGGCAAGCATCATCCCCATTATCTTGAAGTTGTAAAAATATATATCAGCTAGTGAAATACCTAGACCTTAATTCCTACAAGACGATAATAAAGAAATTTACCTTATAACTTTGGAATGGTTTTATAAAAGTAAATCATTTCTAAAGAAATTTAATTGTAGCAAATTGATTATATATCAGCCAGTGAAATACCTAAACCTTAATTCCTACATAAGATGACTATAAAGAAATTTACCTTATAACTTTGGAATGGTTTTATAAAAGTAAATCATTTCTTAAGAAATTTATATGTAGCAAATTGATTATATATCAGCCAGTGAAATACCTAGACCTTAATTCCTACATAAGATGATTATAAAGAAATTTACCTTATAACTATGAAATGGTTTTATAAAAGTAAATCATTTCTAAAGAAATTTAATTGTAGCAAATTGATTTTGTATGTATTTAATACATTAGGAAAATAATATATGTACACATCTCTGTCATATGTTTTCCTCTTACCATTGCCCTTGCTTTATTAGTGTGTATGGATCACCAAGAGAGTTTTTTCCCAAAAGATTATGGCATACAGATTATTTAAATATCTGTGAAACCCTTCCTAACCTGAGCCAAATATGTTAAACAATGTCAATTTCAACTTTACTATAAGAAATATCACAGACACTGTGAAAGATCTTAACTCAAACACCTTATACAAATGCTAGCTTTTAAGTTAGAAATTTCAAATGAAAACTTTGACAGCTTTCCTCAATTTAATCGTTCTGAAACAGTCATCAGTTAAGTTCATATTCATATTGTTAACAGTTACTGTATTCAGTTCCAGAGTCTGTAACAATATGCATTAGGCCACCTATACAGACAGACAGCAACATTTGTTATGATCTAAAGAATAGTGAAATAGTTATTCATGGAAAAAAATTCATACAAAGAACCTCTCCTAATATGATATAATTTTGTTACGTATTGTATGGATTTAAATCAATTTTGAAATAACTTGTACATATCTTTGTCACAGGTTTTCTCCCAACATTTGGGCCATGTTTTATCAACTTGTATGGTTCCCCAAGAGAGTTCTCCGAAATGCCTGATGAGTACGAACACCTCAATGAAGGAAAGGTAGGTGCATGATATCTTTTTTATCCAGCACTCACTGTTGTTTTTCATTTTATATACTATTTTATTTAGTATTGAACAATTTTTATCATCGTTATCCTTGTCATGTGACATAATACACTTGTGTATAAAGCTGGAAAATGTCAGCCATTTTATGTACTCCCCTCTTTCTCAGTTTGCACCTGCCTTTTAATAAAACCTCTGATGAAATAGATCCTTCACAACTTATTTGTCCATCACCTCTTTAGAATAAATGAAAATATACATTTGACTATTTTTTTCAGCGTTTTGAAGTAAGCATTTATTTAGTGATATGTATCTATGCAGTGAGAGTGGCTTAGACCAACATGCTTAGACTTGAGTTTTTCAGCAGCTGCCTTAAACACCATTAGAATCTAGAATCATATGTTTTGAATACCTTTTTGCTTTTCAAAAATCCAAATTGTTGTGAGCACATTTTTCAAAAAAAAAAAGTTTTTTTAAAGTTAAAATATTTGCATTTATTAAACAAAGCAGCTGTCTTCTTATCCACTGCCCACCTTTACTGTTAAAGTATTTCCTCCTATGCTGCAGAAGCTTTGATGATCTTTTCAAAACACTTTATTTTAATTGTGGTTTTAATGCCCACCTTACCCAGAAATATGCTGTCTACAGTAATACAGTGGTGCAAATTCATATCTTAAGACGATTATTATGATTAAGAGAGAGAAAGAAAAGATTCTTTCTACGATTATCCTGACATGTACTCGTATGTTTAAGTTTACGAGTTTATGTTGTATATAAGTATTTGAATATGTCAATTGATTTTTCTATGAGTTAGTTTTTATATAAGCTAGATATTGGCAGTAGATCTAGTATTTTTACTTTTTCTTTATTATTTGTAGTCAACTTAAATACAATTGCTTTATCCTTCCCTTCACTGCTGTGAGTTTTAACTATGTTGTTGTACCCCTTTTATGCTAAGGCTTTCGAATTTTATCTTGCTATTTAAATAGGGAAAAGGCAGACAGGTGAGGTACCTTGCTAGTGGTTTCAACGTTATATGTGCACTTGGTATTATTACATGCACCCCCCTCTCTCCACCTGCCCCTCGCAACAAGCTTTATTACAGAGAAAAAGCTTCTGGCTTTGGTCTTGGGATTAATTGTGTTCTTAATTGAATAACATTTTAGTGATTATTTGTGGGATCTAAAAAGATGGTATTTTATCAATCTGTGGCTTTCTAGTATTCAGGACTGGCAGCAGAAATTGCACAAGCAGCATTTTCCAAATGTTATTGAACAATTGACCACCCCTCTTGAAAATTTTTATATTTGATTGAGCTTTATTTTCCTTTTGTTTTAATTGTTTGTGTATATATTGTTTCTATGTTATTGTTGTTGTTTACATTGTACTGGTATTAAAGTTTGTTTTAAATAACAGTAGTTGGCCTTTCATCTCACATTTAACAATGGCTAGCGTAGCATGGGCAAATTATCATTGAAGAATGTTGAAATAATGTTAAATTGATAATCAGAAAATTGGTGAAGAATGGGGCATATACAAATGTTTTATATTTCAATTGATAAAAATGATATGAGGGATAGATACCCAAGAAATCCTGTGACAGATATGGTATGCATATCACATATATGTAAAATGTGTTATTACTGTAGATCAGTCTTCATAAGGGCTGTACAAGGGCTCTAGTTCCAAAAACATCCACTAGGAGTGCCACCTTCTAATGAATCAGAAATATGAATTTAATATGTGTAAAATGTGAAACCTGTGCACCTGTAACTTTTTGTGAAATAGGTATCTATCTCATCTGATATCATTTTTGGGATGTGATTGAACAATTTGACACATTTGGGACACAAAATACAGTGTTTAAAGTTAATGCAAATGGTTTAATGTGGTGAATGTTTTTAATGTTATTGATATTACTTTGAAAAAGGATGTTTTGATTAAAATTTTTGTTGAATTTGATAATTTTGCTTTCTACTAACACTTGTAACTATACTTAAGAATACATCAGTTACACTGATCACCTTCAAACTATTTTCTAAGTTAAATTCAACTTTTCAACTTAATTTACATGTAGAACTTTGACTTAATGATTTCCACTATTTTCTCTTACTGAATAATCCTTTAACACATCTATTATTTACTGAGTAAAACACTTCATTAATCATTTGATATGCAATTAATTAGAATATAACTACTCTTTTATAGTCTCTAGTGGTGGACATTTTTTGCGAAATGAATAATGTCATGAAAGGGAACAGATCACAGTGATTCTGGATCTCACCCTGTATATCACACCAATGGTGATACATAAGTCTTGAAAGATAGGCAATATGTGATATGTTACCTGTGATTTGCAGGGTGAAGGATGTGCCTACAGAGGCCGCCTCTTGATAGAAATGAAGACGACAGTTGGAGAATTGCCAGAGGTTCCTGTGGAGGACTTGCCAAATGATGACGTGCTCCGTGTACAAGTATGTTTGTTCCTCCATTAGAGTTGACTGAAATTAAATTGAAATAAATTAAATTTAAAAAGAAATTGAATTAAATCTGAAATTGGTGAGGGAAAAAGGTACATATAGACAAACAATTTATTTTTTTTGTCAGCACTACACAAGAGAAAATAAAAACCTAATGTATAAGTTATTACTCTTTTCTCAAAAACTTTAAATGTATTTCCTTGTGATTTTTGCGACCTATATTATCTATAAACAAAATTGTTTATAGATGGCAGTACAGAGTTACTTTCTATGTGATATTCGCCTCAATGCACCCAGACTTCCAAAGTTTTTACTTGAAATTTTCTGGCAGTGAGGTTGTATTGTTTAAAAAGAAAATGAAGAGTTGGAACTCGATGTACCAGTTCACCTTAAAGTTTGTAGAAAACAGTTTTGCCTGATATTTCAAATGATTTTTATGACAAATTTGGATTCATATGATAATTATCAAACACAAGCTGAAACACTTTCATACCGTAAGCATACATGTGTGTTTGATAATTATCATATACGATCCAGCTTCCAAGCTAATGAACATTTTTGTTTAAATTTGGTTCGTTTTGATTTTTTTATCCAGAAATACATGAGGCGACGCAAGTTTAAATTGCATGTGGCTTTCCTGAGTGCAACCATGATCAATGCCACAGATGCCCCTGTAGAGTTTGAAGTCAGCATTGGTAAGTGTTGTTTTTAAATAATTTCTTGAAATCCAGTGTTTTTCTTGCTAAAACATATGTTTAGAAAGCAAGTTAATTTTTAAATTATCAGCTAATTCTGGTTTCATATGTTTCATATGTTGTTCATAGTTATGAGTTTGATGCCTTCATTGGTGAGGGAAAAAGGTACATATAGACAAACAATTTACTTTTTTATCAGCACTACATGAGAAAATAAAAACCTACACCAGATCATGCATTTTAATAATAATATAATAATAATAATAATTAGATGCATTTTCTTGGTGATGAAATAAGATTTAGCTTTTATTTTGATCAGGTAATTATGGGAACAAGCTAGATGAGAGTGTCACCCCCTGCGCCTCCACCACTCAGCCTACCAACCCCATATTTGATGGCAATAGCTACTACTACCTCCCCTGGGGGGACACCAAGCCTTGTGTTGTGGTGGATTCCCACTGGGAAGACATAAGCTGGAGACTGGAGGCCCTCAACATGCTCAATAGAACAATGATGAGGCTGGTGAGTATTTATAGCTCAGAGATTTAAAGGGATAATAACTTTTCGTATGAAATCTGTATTTCACAATAAAAACATTGTGAATGGCTCATAAAAATATAATATATTCTGTTTTCCCACAAAAACGGCTGTTATAGCTATTATTCTGATATCTGAGCTTGTCTTTAGACCACGTGACCTCCATTGATGGCTATACTCTGTTAAAATCTCTTAAGAGATTTTAACAAAAAACCAAACTTTTTAGAAAAAAACCAGGGACTAACTTTGAATGTAAAAATGGATTCATTAACCATTGGTAAGTATGGGAAAATTGTTGTTTACTCCAGGAAAATTCATTTTTTGGCCGAAACGAAGAGTTATTATCACTTTAATATATGGGGAAATGCTTTATTTTATTATGATGTGGATTTTTGCAATTTGATATGGAATACTAAGTTATACTGATTAATGAAATACTGTTACATTATGAATACTAAAATTAATGAAATCTTAGAATCTTTTGTTTCATCCCAGCTTTATGAGTGACTTTGGAATCAGGTTAGATATTTATATTGATCTCCATAGACACGGTGGATTCAGCAGTATGCCATGTCTAAATCCTGTTCAATACAAGGTGATAGGGAGATACATGTACCTTTAATTTTTGTGATATTTTCAGCAATCTCATGTGAAAAAGGTAGAATTATCCATCAAGTCCAACTCCTCTCTGGAAGAGAGAGCTGAGCTGCTGATAGCCCTGCTGGACCAGCTTATTGCAGACTGCAGGTTAGACATTTTCTGAATGTTGTCATATCGTAACTCCTAACTTCCATTGCCATGCAAATATTTGGAAGAACATGAATTCCTACACACTTAAGTATTAAAATGACCAGTTTTTCATTCAAACTGGTTTGAAACTCTGAAATCCTCTGTGAAAATTTTTTTATTTGAATTATGCAGTAGAACAATATTATGGATTTCGTGCATTGCTGCTATATATCAGAGTGCAGTTCTTTAAGAGAATTTTTATCAGTGCATAACTTTTGAGACGTAGATAAAGGATTATTCAAAAAGAAAATATTAAGAAATGTAAGACAACAAAAATCCTGCAGGTGTTCCTTTAAGATGTTTTAAATCTGATTTTATTTTTATTGTCAAGTACAAATAAGCATTTTTCCAATAAGATAATGATTTCCACAATTTTAACACAAATATTTTATTATACAGTCAACCCTTGCCCCAGCCAGAGCAAGGCAGACACATACCAAATGAACTGGACGTCCATCTCCAAGAGCACCGTCTGGCCGAACTGGACTTTGTCAAGGCTGAGGCCTTAAAGTTAAGGGAGAATGCCACTGATGTGACAGAGGCTCTCCAAGAGGTTGAAGGACTTGCTTCTTGTCTGAAGAATATTGCAGTGGAGGTAAGCAATCTAATTTTATTTTTTTATAATTATTTGTTTTGCTTTCTCTTCTTTGTTGCAACTGCCCATGCCCAGGCTTGTCTTTGTCAGTACTCCATTGAATTGGGTATATATATATATATATATATATATATATAAATTATGGTGATAATTTTTTGCTGGTATTTTATCATGTTGTGCATGTTTAAGTTAAACTGACTTCTGTACAGATTTCAAAAGGTAAACGCTCCTGGCACTCAGTCGAATTACCTGATTTGCAGGTGTTTGTAAAAGAAGTATGTAAATTAAGCCAAAAGAGAAGAAACAAAAATTCAGAACATAGATTTAAATGTTTCATGTGGTTTATTTCCAGCCACAGAACAGTATGCCAGATGTGGTGTTTTGGATGATCTCTGGGGAGAAAAGGATTGCTTTCTACAGGATACCTGCCAACGATGTCCTCTTCTCAGCAGATGAAAACACAATGGGGAAAGACTGTGGACAAATATCCACTCTTTTCTTGAGGGTGAGGCATTCACCATGTCACATATAGGTTTTTTAAAATGTTCACTTGTGTTGAGTTGTATAAAATATTCCTTAATTTTCAAAAAAATTAATAATAAAATAAGATTTTGAAAGTTTACAGTACAACATGAGACAATTTGGCACTGTTGTTGTATTATCATATATTTAGTATCCAGCTGACAAATTTTTTTCACATAGGACATTTACCAAACCTCCCCCCCCCCCCCCTTTTGCTTTTTTTAATTGATGTACAACATATTTTAGTGGCCATCTGAAAAGACAACAAAGACCACCAAGACAGACCTCCCTGGCGTGATCAGAGCTAAAATATGGCTTGGCTTGGAGAAAGATGAAATGGAGTGGCATAAAATGCAAACAGCAGGGGAACTGGCAGTGTTTGCAGAGACTGTGAGTTTGTGATTCTTGTAGAATAGATCTTTTTTTATGCATCACATTTGCATATAATGATACTAATGAAAAACTTCTTTTTGATACATGTATCTTAAGACATCAGCCATAATCCTAAAATTTAACAATTCTAGTATGAAAATCAAGTAGACATGCCCATTGTGGGATGGACCAACAAAGGCCCTGCATTGAGAAGACCAGCCTGGTCTGACAACACAGGAAAGGTAGGATATAACAGAGATATCACATATATACCTTTGGGTATGAGGAAAAATCTTGGGTTTCCAAAAATCCATATTGATACATGTTATATATATTTAAAAGAAATAAAACAAATTTCTTTTGTTTTGCTTTTTGATTTTGGTTACATGATGCCCAATATCTATTTATTGTAAGAACATTGATTTTGAGCAGCATATTTAAAGTCTTTTAAAAAGTTAATTATCTAAATAGAATATCAGATGTTTCTTAAATGATTTTATTATAATTGCCCTGTAAGTATCATCATATATTACTCAGTGCAGTAATTGTTGGTAATTGATTTGTTCCCAGTTAAAACTGAAAAAGGAGAAATTTGTGCCACCCCCTGGTTGGCGCTGGGAGGGAGACTGGAAAATCAGTCCAGAGCTGAGGTAAGTAGCCAACACCTTTTTTTTATCCTCAAAGAAATTATGGCCTTAGAATATACCTAGAATTAGTCCATTACCCAGAATGTTGAACCGAAATTCTGGAACCTCTCAAGCAACAAGCTCTAATGAGTGACATAATATCCACAACTGACCATTTTTAGTACCTGCAAGCTGTTGTAACATTTGTACCTGTGAACTCTTTAGTGGTTGAGCATTCTCAGTAGCTTGTAGCTACATGTAGATAAAATGTTGATCTATACCTTTGGCAAAATAGTATGACAAAGTGGCAAGGGTATACATTTCATTCATGGTTGTACAGTGGAAATGGATTTCACTAATTTAAGAGAAAATTATTTCATAACTTTGATAAAAATAACATTTCATAACTGCTGTTTATGCCTGCATCTTTGATGCTTTTAAAATCCTATTGTGGTACACATGTAACTGTTTCCTGACATCAAAGTCCACTATGAATCCTTGTACTTTAAATACAAATATGTCATTCAGAAATTTAGAAATATGGAATTTAACTCACTAGATTTTTTTCTCCTCTCTAGTCTCCAGTTTGACCGTGATGCTGGTCACACTACTTTCCTGGAAGATGTGTATGAACAGCAGGCCAGATATCCTGGAGGAGCCTGGGGACCCTCATCACAGAGGCCTTGGGCTGATCTGGTCAGTGTGGGTCACTCTAGTGACCCTTATTTAAAGCCTGTCTTAATACAAGTAGTTAAATGTAGATTTGAATAAGTGTTTTGTGGAAGGTCCATTCATCTTTAAGTTTCATGACTGTCCAGTTGGAAACCTTGTTAAGATTGATATATGATTTATAATGATAATGACTTAGCTTATTGTAGTTAGGTGCTATTAGTCAGGCTAGCAAGGGCACATCTTATCCCACAGTATCCTTATGCTTTGAGCATTAAATATCTATTTACTTATTTAGGAGGATTTATGTTATGTCAACACACTCCAGAGTAGTTTTATAATTATATTTCATGTATTAATTATTTCAGAAAGGGGATCCACTGTCCTCCCTGGAGGAGTTCCCTCTACCTGAGGGTTGGAAGTGGGATGATGCTTGGCAGGCTGACCTCAATAGAGCTGTGGATGAAGAGGGTAAGATTGGATTATTTTGAACCTTCTCATCATTTAGTTTGGAAGACGGGGGAGTTACCGTGACAAGTATTTATGAAATACACAGCACGAATGCACCAAAAGTTCAACAGTTCTTTGGAAAAGTGAAAAACCCAAAATCATATGTTGGCAAAAGCAAGCTATGAACCCCACCTGAAAATGAAAAAATACTTTGTTTCTTTGATCAAATGTCAATTTAATGCGTATTAAGCTGTAAATGTGTTCATATTAAGCAACCTATTCTGTTTATTAGGCTGGGAGTATTGTGTGGAGGCAACACTGGGCAGCTATGGGCCTGTGGAGAAGACATTTCACCTGTGTAGGAGAAAGAGATGGGTGAGACAGAGAACTCTGGTGGCAGATATGAAAAAACTGGCAGAAAAGGTATTTTTAAAAACTTTGCTCACTGGATAGTTATTATTTGCCTCTTTTTTTCAAATATGAAGATTTTTTTTCAGTTTTCTTGTTAGATGTGCCATACTTTAAAATGTAAATTAATTATCATGATGATCAACCTCAATTTTATGTGAAAGGATGCATATTATTTATAAACCATATGCATGTCATAATAATTGGGGATTCTGTTTTTTTGGATTGGTTTGTGTTTACAGTGCTTAATTTAGTTCAGATTATTATTCCACAATTTGGTATACCAAAATGTACAGTAGGAAAATTCCACAATTCATTCAATATTTGTTGTCTTACATCATTCAGTATTTATTTAACAAGAGTTAAAGGGATAATAACTCTTCGTATGAGAGCTATATGTCACAATAAAAACATTGTGAATAATTCATGGAAATATAATATATTCTGTTTCACCACAAAAACGACAATTATAGCTATTATTCTGATATCTGAGCTAGTCTTTAGACCACGTAACCTCCATTGATGGCTATACAGGGCTTGGCATAACTTTTTTTGGAGTTGTTGTCCACCGGACAAGTTGACCAAAAATTTGGTTTGGTTNGCTATACTCTGTTATAATCTCTAAAGAGATTATAACAAAAAAACAAACATTTTAGAAAAAAACAGGGACTAACTTTGAATGTAAAAATGGATTCATTAACCATTGGTTAGTATGGGAAAATTGTTGTTTACTCCAGGAAAATTCATTTTTTGGCCAAAACGAAGAGTTATTATCCCTTTAATCTCAAAAAATTAATGCTTTATTCCAGGAAAAGCAGCAAAAGGAGGTGCTGGAAGGCTGGGAGTATGCTCCATTGTTTGGCATGAAGTTCCACCTGAAGGAGAGAAAGATGGACATGGTCAGGAGGAGAAGATGGCACAGGAAGATGGTGGCAGAGACCAAGGGAGCAAGTTGTTTCTTTGCCATTCAAGATGTAAGGAGTTTTCTCTTTCAGTATATTAACCATTTAATGTTTTAAAAGTCTTCAGAACCAGGTAGATTTGTTGAAGTCAAGTTTATTTCACTACCGCAGCCCTGAAGTCCAAGAGTGCATTTAAATTATGTCTCAAGGTAGAAATAATGACATTTAGCCTCAAAATTATGTTAAATACAAAACTTATATGTGTAAATTGAATAAACACGAACTGCATGTATATTGATTTTCAGGATGAAGACAAGGACAAAGAGAAATATTCAACAGCATTAGCTGTGCCAAGGATGTACTTGACTTTCAAGAGTGAGTACAGTGATCAGATATGTTGGGTTTGAATATCATTAAGTCATAAAAATTTTTATGTCAATTAATTTGGGCAAAATTGTTTTTCTGTATTGTGCATTTTCATATTAGTAATATAGAAATTGTCTTCTGTTGTTTTTCTTTGGTGTAGATTGAAGCATCAACAAAACAATATTATTTTGGAATCAAAACTTTTATGTACCAGAGGCAATGGTTTAAAGTAAAACTTCACGAATTGTAGGCAATTAAGTTAGAGTTATTAAATTCCTAAGTTTTGTGAATTTTTCTTCTTATTCTTCCAGCTGTTCAGAAGTATCAGTTAAGAGCCTATTTGTATCAAGCCCGGGACTTACTTGCAGCAGACGACTCTGGTGTCTCAGGTAATGAATAAATAGTAAGACAGAATATATCTTCTGAATTGGTGAAGTCATGCAGAATATCAACAAGTTAAACCTGATAACTTCTTTTCAAAAGGGTTTGTTTTACACAGTTGTAGAAGGAATTGTCCCTAAGAAGAATATCCTATATTGGACAGATTATGTAGGGTATTCTGAGCTTCCAAGAGGTTAATAAAATCTTACTGGGGACATTTTAGATATTTGCCAAATATGTATTTATGATGATGCTCTTTGTGTATTTCCAGACCCCTATGCTGTAGTCTCTTTCCACACACAAAGTCAGACAACAGAGAAATTGAAGAAAACACTGTGCCCAACCTGGGATCAGACCCTGCTATTTGAGGAAATAGAAATTCATGGTGATCCTCTCCTCATAGAGCGCCAGCCACCAGAGATCATCATTGAGTTCTTTGATCACGATGTGGTGGTATGTATATGGCTAAGAAAAACTCACAAAAATTTTATTAATCTTTTTTTTCATCAAAGAAGTTTGTTCACTTAGATAAAACTTAAACTTTTCAAATACATTGTGTATTGATAACAGTTTTCATTGGTTCAAAAGTTAGCCTTTTTTAAAGAAACTAAAGATGTTTTTTAACCTTTCAGGCATGATATTTTAACTTTTTAAAAGGCCATGTCATCCCCACTTCTGGAGTTCACACTGAAAAGTCATTTTGTTCCAATGCCAATTGATGAAGGTTTGAACCAAAAAAAAATTAAATGTCAAGATATAATTTATTTGTTTAATTTGTATATATTACATGTTTATGTTTTATCACCAGGGCAACCCAGACTACCTGGGACGTGCAATAAGTGTCCCGGTCGTCTTCCTGGATCCTTCTCAGTACAAGCCCACCAGACTGAACTGGGTCCCCATTAACAGAGGAAACAAGAGTGGAGGAGAACTACTGGCAGCATTTGAACTGTTTGCTGTAAGTTCTGCATTATTGATCTCTTTGTGACATAATTGTCAGTGCTTAACACAACCATGCTTACAAATACCCACCTCTAATAAAGGAAAACTACAGCAATATTTCATCATTTTCATTTTAATGATTTAATTATGAATATACCTTAAACTTTCTATTACCATTTGTATTATAGCTTATATTGCTCCCCCCTTCATCCCCTGATCATTTTCCTTCCTGTGCACTTGTACGAAGGATGATCATTTTCCTTACTGTGCTCTTGTACGAAGGAAATAGGAATGTCAGGAAAATACCCAAGGAAATAATTAAATCATTCAATTTTGATATAGGAGAAGACTACATATTTTCAGGTTATGAAATGCTCTGGAAATTAAAAACTTTGTGCCATTTTATTTTGTATCCCCCCAGATACCAGAGGAAAGTATTGTTGAGCAAAGCATCGGTGAACCAACGGTTTGTAATGCTGCATGTGGCATTGAGCATGGACTATTCTTAGTTAATAGGGCATCTCCCTTGGCCTATCTCCCTTGGCCTGCTTATCCCCTCCCCCCTGGACCCCCAATGCCCACCTCTACCCCCACCCCAAAAGCAATATGCTATTTTGAGCTACAATTGAGATCTGACCTATCTAAAAAAATTTTTCTGGAGACAAAAATATATTCAAATTTTGAAACACATTTACATGAAATTTACCTTAAAAAGTATAGGAATTGAACCAGGCATAAATGTTGCTTCAGATAGTGGCTTGAAAACGGCAAACATGAATCAGCCCCCAAGGTAATAATGTTTACATGATATACTGCATAGATATTAGCAATCCTGTTTACACTGAGTGGAAAGTTTCCACTCTCCTACTGCATACATGTATTAGATGCATCAGCTTCCTACCATTATTGAATATGTTCTTAAGTTTTGACACATTTTGCATTTTCTGTCATCAGAATTATCCGTCAGGGCCATTACTGTTGAAAATACTCATATGTTTTAAAACAAAACTCCCACATTGCCAAAATAGCATGCAGTTGTACAATTATGTTGATCATGAAATTTATTGCAACAGTACTTGGTCTTAGTATATCATCAGAATATAAGTTGCAGTACATGATATTTAAAAGTTACAACAAAAACACATGTATACAAAAAATGCTTCTACTAGTGCAATGCCAAGGTATGAAGTATAGACATACTTCAGGAAGTTTTGCCACTGCCTGATGCCCTCTGCCCAATTGTTTTTCTTTAAGATTAAATTTTATAGTTCTTAATACTCACAATGGCAACTTAGGTATATTGTGATGGTTGTGCACACACAGAGGATTCACTTTTGTTTTCATATTTAAATTGTTAACTAACAAAGCATGGGTTTAATGAAAAGGGTATTGTGTATTAGGGTTCATTTTGAACTCTGTACTAAGTTTTATGATTAGTTTTTTTTCTTCTGGAAAATGCTTTGTGTGTTTTATTTGGAATTTACTAATTACAGTGATTTTGATGATTTATATTTGTGATATTTAAATACTTTCACCTGACTTTGTCTCAACATATTTCTTTTTCAAATGGATATGAATAAGGTCATGTATTGGTATATTTTATACAAGCAGTTTCCATGTCTCTGGAAAACTATTGTAAGAGGAAGAAAAAGTAGGGGCGGTTTATTACATAGAGAAAAAAGAGATATAAAAAAAAATACTATGACATCATAAAGTGAAAACTGCTCATCTCAATCTAATCTAATGCTGTATTATATGGTCTGGGTTTTCACATCATGACTTGAAGTAACAAAATAAAGGGAAATTGAAGAGTACCCCCTCCCCCCTTCCACCCCTTCCTTGCCATTTCTCAAAATATAATGATTTTACGTCAAATATGCCTTTGGGAAGCAAAGCTTGTTTCCCTTCCATCCTCAGTCAACAAAATTTTGGGTCCACCAGTCATCTGTCATTGGAGGGCTGGTATTTGTATGAGACATGTAGTCTTGCATGTTCTGATATAATGGATTCAGATTACCACTAATTATATAAACTGCTTAGATCTATTTTCATGGTATATTCAACAGCTAGTAAGCTAAACAGATAATTATTTTTTGTCTTTTGTACAATTATACTCTAATCATGTTCTTTATATTTACCATATTATTACATCAAAGTCAATATTCCCTCTAGTTTTTCATTTTTTTTTCACAATTCTTTGGTATGATCAAGCACAATCATAATTAAAAAAAAAGAGAAAAAAAAACATTTGTCTATTGATTCATGTTTACAATGCAGTAAGTGTAATATAGAGAAAGTGAAAATTGTGATGGCCACTCAGGGTTTCCTACACTGAACTTCTAGGTATTTTCTATTTATTTTTGGCAGTGGATACCTCTTTATTTCAGGTATCTTTATTTTGCCTTCATTTGCACATGTGACCCTGGTGACATTAATCACATCCATCTTTGAAGATAACTGATAAAAATTACAAGCTAAAACTGATATACATCTCATTGATTGTGTGAACTGGAAGTTATATTTTTTAATTTGTCTCCTTTCTTGTAGATGACGGACAGAAAGGACTTGCCATTCTACCCACCCAAGAAAGGAGACAACTTTATTGTCCCCAGTGGCATCAGGCCAGTAATGCAGAGGACAGCTATTGAGGTATGGAACATTCCACAAATTCCAGGCAACGAAGAATAATTTTTGTGGTCAGGTTCCCCCTCCCAAAGGAGGAAGATAGTGTGCACGCACACAAATACAGATGCACGCACACTCACACATACACACACACAAACACATTTTTAGGAAAAAAAACTTTGAAATTGCTGGCAAGATATATGTGAAATGTTGATTATATTCTAGGTTCTATGCTGGGGTGTTAGAAATCTGAAGAAGTACCAGTTGTCCAGCATCAATTCACCAGCTATAGAGTTTGAATGTGGAGAACATCTGCAGACCACCAAAGTGATGAGAAGCGCCAAGAAGAACCCAAATTTTGCTGAGCCTCTCTTGTTTTTTGATGTGGTAAGATTGACAGGAATATTAAATTGTATAATTTATTTATGACCTCATTTTTAACAGTGAAGTAAAATAAAAGCTCCAGAGTTTGAAAACTTATGTGGGTAATTTAAATTGTATTTTGAATTTTAGAGTAAATCTTCTATTATAAATTTGATTGTGATTTTTAGCTATTATTAGCGTAATGATAATAATTGTGACAGTTTTAGATCATATGTTCATATAAATGACTAGAAATAAGAAATACTTTGACCATTGTCTTTTCTTAATAGAAATATATACTAATGCTTAGCCTCAACAGTGTGTTTAAATTCAAGTAATTCTTGTATAGTTATCATAGACAGATCAAAATATAACACTTTAGGATAAAAAGAGTATAAGACTCCCAAGATAATCAGATTAAGCTGTTTTTTTAAATTGCCAGGTAATGTAAAAGAAATGCTTTAAAACATCTCTCTCGGTTTCAGATGTTACCTAAGGATGAGCTTTACATGCCTCCTATGAACATCAAGGTACGAGATCACCGTGAATTTGGTCGTAGACCCGTGGTGGGCAGATATTCCATCTCGTCCCTGAAGGAGTACCGCTGCGACCCCACCGAGTCTCAGAGTTTGTTGGAAACAATGGGGAATGGGCCTGGAACACCTACACCCAGTACCAGCAGAGGTAAGACTAGGGAGAAATAGACGTAGATAATGGGACATATAATGGGTTCTCACTTGAAACTGCCAGTAACCATGTAATGTTACTTTTAGAATATTTTGGTCATCATACTTCCTGTTATTTATAAGTCCTTGGCGTTAAAAACTTCTGAAAATATGTTCATGCTTTATTTATAATTCTGATTTATATGTACCAGTTAAAAGGGCGTTTTGATAAGAAAGGGCACTGTGCTAATTAAAAAGTTACTCAGTTTTTCAGTTATTTTTATGATGTTAATTCTGATTATATAATATATATAATGTAATACATGTTGTTTGGACATCGGTGATGTCAGTTTTCCCCAGTGTTCATTAATCAGTGAGTTTACTAATAAAGAGTGAATGCCTTGCCATGCTGCCCTCAAAACTAATAGTGCATGTATGAATTCTATAATCAAGAAAAAAAGTTTTGAATAAGTCTGTGCACAAATAACTTTACAAATATGCAAATGCCCACAAAGTTTTTTAAAAATCACTCAAAATATGACTTCTCACTCATAAGATATTTTCTATTCTTTTGTCACTTGAAAAGTTATGGGTACGTTGGATTTGGCCCAGTCTCGTATGGCAGAACTGTCGGGTAAATTCCGAGGATTAACGGGCATAGGATCTCCCAGCACCAGTACTGAGACTGATCACTTGGTCAAAGGTAGCTGAGAAAAAAAAAATTTGGACCCTTGGGAGTTTTAATGTTGTTTGACTATTATACTTATACATCTAATCCTATATTAACCCAGGTTGGCTTTTGCTTTGTGAATGTTATCCCCTGTGGTGGTTTCAAAGGACAGATTTTAGGGATGATATGATTTTCAATAAATTTCTTTGAAAAATCCCCATCTGACTGATTCTTCTGTCTTCCCAGGATCAGTTTTCATTTTTTCACTACCCCTGTATGTACTTATACCTTACTGTGAAAAGTAGACCTCTCTAACTGCTTTTATAAATGTCATTGTTGCGATGTTAAATGTTCTCAGATTGCCCTTCCCAGATTTTGGAAATTTCCTGTAGGACTTGTAGATGTCTTTTAGAAGCATAAGTGCCTGTTACTACATGTAGAAATCTTGAAATTAATATTTTTGTGTGTTTTTTTCTAATTTAGATAAGAATTAGATGGGTTCAGATAGAGTTGACCCCCCCTTTTTTTTTTTTTTTTTTTTTTTTTTTTTTGTTTTTGCTCTACATAGAATCAGAATGTTTTATCTTAAAACATATCATTTTCTTGACTACCACTCAGTTTCTCTCTATCAATGCATGGCATATGTAAACTGCATGTCCCCAAGCCACCCATGCAATACCCAGCAACGAAGAAACTAACTTCTGAACCCTTTTGTTCTTTATTTTTATTTTATTGATGTATTCAAGTTGCACTTTATACTTAATCTTTTACCCTTAAACCCCAATATTTACCTCACCCTCAGATTGCAGATTGTGAGATTATGTATGAATCTCCTATGCTTTTTTGACACTGAATTCCTTTTAATTTCAGGTCTTTATTTTAAAGTTTGCCTGATAAACAATGTAACAACTCATTGAGAGAATGAAAATGTTTTCAATGCAGTTTATCCTAGGCTCATACCATACCTTGCTGTGCATATTCAGTATTTGTCCCCAAGCTACAGTCTATTACAGGCACAAACAAATACTGCTTTATCTAAGACTTTTTCCAAAAACTTTTTTTTTATCCATACACCATATATATATATTTCTGCCTTTGCTCACCAGACCTTGACCTTGAAACTAGTAGTACTGGGAAATCTGAACAGGAAACTGACATGCTTATGGCCAGTAGCCCTCAGTCAGGTGGGTTAGCATGCCATGCTGGCATGCAGAAAGAACATTGGCATGTGGGCATGCTGGCATGAGGAATGTAGGCATGAGGAATCACAGGTGTCCACTGACACTTCCTCTCACACACAAAAGAGACACTTCCTTCTTTTTTTCCCCCCATTCCCCCAAGGTGGGTTCTTGGCATGAACCTAATGTTATTTTAATGGCATGGGCATACAGATACAGTTATAGGCATGGTTCTATATTAAGTATATACAGTAGGTTAAATTGACAGTAGACACTGTATCTATGGGTGTGGCCTATAGTGGCGCATAGAAATATCTGGTGGTTAGTTTTTTGGGGAAATGTAGAAAGAATTATAGAAGGAATTTTAAGGTTTTATTTTGATGTGTAGTACTTATAATGCCTAAAACTGATAGCGCAGTAGCATGTTTTAGAGATGTTATTTGGTCTAGGATCAGTAAAAACTTAACTAATCATAGTATGTTTTGTATCAGGTTGCTTAAATTTTTGTATCTACATACAGCTTTTGTCACTTAATATCTTGAATTTCTGATTTTTTGTACATCTCACTGGTATGCGTCTTTTCACTTGAACTGCACTTTTGAGTAGAGCATGGAAATGAGTTGATGCACCAAGCAAGTTTGTTGATAAGTTTTTAGTATATAGCATTTGAAACATGTTTGGTTTTTAAAAGAAATTGAGTGTTCTGACTTCTATCCATAATCCCAAAATTTGGCTTAAAATAACTCGCTCCTATAACCTAAGTAATAAAATGTCCATATGATACCTGTACTTATACACCCTTAATTCCCATTGTTATTTTTTTCACGGATTTGTTTATGTTATAACTTTAAACAAATGCTGTATAAAATTGGAATTGGAAACCCCATGTTTTTATAAATATTTTGGTGTTGGTAATTTCAATTTATAAGTATTATTATACATTGAATAGGAATTATTGATATTTGATATATTGTAAATATTGTTTCTATTTTCGCAATCTCCTATACAGTAATGTTTAACTGTATTTTTTAAATAACAGCATATATCGAATAGGATGGTAAAGCTAGATTAATTACCATTTTCAAGGCAATCAAACATTAATTATGAAAGAAATCAGTTTTAACTGCTGCTTGAGCTACTGTTACAATGCTAATAATGTTTTATTCTAGGACTAGTATTATTTTACAGCAAACTGTCATTTATTTCCCTGTTACAATTCATGGCTTATATATTTAATGTTGTATGTGTTTTAGCCAAGACGGACGCAGTGGTGATAGAAATGCCTCAGGAAGAAACTGGAGAAGTAGCTAAAGTAACTAAGGTATGTTTTCCAATGGAGTTTGAATATGTATTTATTTTGTGGGAAAAAAACATCAGAGCGCAGTACTTAATCTTGAAATTCTCTCTTTTCCAGTATTTTTATTATATTGTACTTTTGATTTTTGAGTACATTTTTGTGTACTTGATATTTATCAATTTCCTTGTTTGAGTTCTTTTTTTTTTTCATTTATAAGTCAGCCCTATATCAATCATTTTCATTTATTATATTGTGTATCCATTCATTTTTTTTTTTTTTTTGTTTTTTTTTGTTCAAACCTTGCATTCACAAGTAAATGGATCTGTCTCCAACTCACCAGTTTTATGTAAAACTATTAGGTCAGATGGCTTACTGTTGGACTTCTGACTGGATTATGATGTCACTTAAACTGGTTCAGTCCTGGTTAGGCCTTTTCCATTGTTAATACACCTCGAGATAATCTGGATCATTTTATTTTACAGAATTGTAAATTATTTTAAAAATTAAAATTTTCTGTTCTCAAGGGTAAAAAGATGCCAAAACTAGCCGACTTGAAAATTCCCAAATTACCTGATTTTAGTCTTAATATCTTCAAAAGTCAGGAAGAGGTTTGTTAAGTATAAGTTGTTGTCATCTTTGCCACCTATCGTTTGGGGTTTGTAGGGTCCTGTATGGTAGTAGGAAGCCTTTGTATATTTTTTCCAAGTCAAAAATATACCAGTATATCTGCATACATTCATATTGCTTCTTGTGTGCTTGGGATTATTAAAAGTTTTTCATCACACAGAAAAGGAACAGATAAATATACAAGAGATCACCTGGTTTATCTTTTCAAGTTTGATTTGGTTTCCAAATAAATATATAATATATAAAATATATTCTTTAAACGACATTTGATGGTCTGCCAAAGATCAGGAGATCCTTTTTTCAGGAGAATTTTCTGTGTGTGCTGATAAACTTTTATATAAGTCCAGATAGTCGGATGGTTTTCTTATATATTTTATATATGTTGTCACCTGCTTTATGATACTTTCCTAAAATTTCGTATGTGTGTGCATATGCATGTGTGTGTGTTCATGTATGTGTGTGTGTGTGTGTGTACTGCATGTATGCGTGCATATATGCTTGTATTTGAGAGTGAGCATGTGTGCATGGTGGCTGCATGCATTCAAAAACCAAACAGCAATTGTTGAAAATTGATTGCATTATAGCATGCAGAGACCAGTATGATAAAAGGCATAGTGGCACGAAAGACATTGTCTGCGTGAAGCATGTATTTTGTACAAGTTCTAGCTAGATAATTAAAAGTTTGTTTTTCAGAATATTTGCATTGCTCATATTTTGTGACATTTAGCTAGCAAACATTTATTTTTATCTCGTGATTTGATTCTCTACGAACAGTTCGGTCTTAACCTAATAAACTGGGGTAGCCTAGCCTTGGACAGTGAGGAATCTAATGTGGTAAAAATCTTGTGTGCAATTGTAGCACCTCCTAGACTAGTTCACATATACTGCATATGTAACCTGTACGTATAGAACATGTATAGGTATGTACATGTATAGTGTAGTACAGAATAGTTATGTGCTGATTTGATTGAAGGTGAATGAAAAAACTAACAGTGAATGCTCCAGACCTGTCTTTCACTTAAACTAATATGTCTTGCTTTTTTTATAGCCATCTAAATAGACTGCCTCAACCATCCTGTTTGGCTATTGATGTATATTCGTAATATAATTAAGCACAATTCTGAAGATTTCAAGTTGAGGTGTCACAGTGGAGTTTGTTATACTATGCTGCTTGTTTTGTACTAACTCCACATATCAGTATACTTTGATGCGTGTACTAAAGCCTTTAGTATAAATATTCCATAAAATACCAGCTTTTGGAGATTTATTCCTTCTGAATTTTTGTATCTCATGTAAACTTTTTCTGCATACAGGTTTGTGCTCACTGCTTGGAAGTTGTTTCTTGATTTTCACATTTGGATAATAAATCTTGGAACAAAAAGAAATATACTCAAAATTAAAATATATCTGGTGCTGATGGTTCATTAAAAACTTCAAAAATCCTTTAAAGTGATAATAACTCTTCGTTTCGGCCAAAAAATGAATTTTCCTGGAGTGAACAACAATTTCCTCATACTTATCAATGGTTAATGAATCCACTTTTACATTCAGAGTTAGTCCCTGGTTTTTTTCTAAAAAGTTTGGTTTTTTGTTAAAATCTCTTAAGAGAGTATAGCCATCAATGGAAGTTACGTTGTCTAAAGACAAGCTCAGATATCAGAATAATAGCTATAACTGCCGTTTTTGTGGTAAAACAGAATATATTATATTTCTATGAGTTATTCACATTGTTTTTATTGTGAAATATAGATCTTATATGAAGAGTTATTATCCCTTTAACCTTGCTTACATTTCTTAACCTTTTATTTTCATGAAAGAAAATTAACTTACATGTGATTTGCACCAAATTTAATTCTTTAAAATCTGTATAGCATGCACTGATAATGGCATGAATCAACAACAATCTGTTCTCAAAAATAATTCATTTTCATTCTCAGTTTAGCCATAGTTGATGCAGCTCTACCATTATATTTAAGTAGTTTCTAATTTTTGTTATTTTGAATTGTTCCACAGCCAACTGAGAGTATTCTAGAAGAAATAGACTGGTGGTCCAAATACTATGCCTCCATAGGGGACATGGACAAGTGCAGGGCCTATGTGGAGAAAGGATATGACTTACTGGAGGTATTAATAATAATAATAGTAATAATAATAATAATAATAATAATAATAATAATTGAAAAAAAACAACAACAACAATGATAAAATTGATGATGATGATGATGATGAAAAAAGTAAGGTATGTTCCTATCCTGAATTTATATTTACATATATGCCATCAGTACAATTACAATAATAATATCTTTATGAGACAGTTTGAAAAAAAAAGGAAAGGAAAAATATTTCATCAAATTTTCCTGTTGTATATTCAGGTATGTCCTGGTGAGCTGGAGAAGACCAGTGGATACAATGAGTTCAAAGACTTCTGTGAAACCTTCACTATCACAAAAGGAAGCAATGATGATGAAGATGAAGAGCTGGATGATGTTGGGGAGCTGAAGGTCAGAATTGACATCCTATTTACTTGAATACTCATTATTGTTTGATTTGTTTATTGAGCAGTTGTTTGTTTGTTTGTTTGTTTGTTTGATTGGTTGGTGGACTTTTTATTAATTCATCAGTTGATTAGAAATCTTGAATGAATATATTTTGAAGCTGCCAAGAAGTGGATCTGAGGTTTTACGGCTTTTTGATTCTTTTTCAAACAATTTTAACATTAGAAGTGCCCAATAGTGTTTTTATCGGTCAAAAACTTTCCTGATCATACCTGTTACATATATATGAAGCACCATGTCACTACTTTTGTTTCTGTTTTTAAATTTGATAAGTAAAAAGAAGAAATATTGGTAACTCAATCTTGTAAAATCAGTGTAGCCAACATTCCACTAACCAAAATCCGTCGATTTGTTAAAACATTAAAAGCAAAGAACAACATTTTGAAACAAGGGAAAAACCACACAGGAATATGTGTTGATAGATATGTAGATTTGGCATCCCTATATAGACTATATCACTTTCCCTTCCAGGCCACATTCAGGGTGTACCCACTCCCAGGGGACTACAATGCCCCTGTACCAAATAAGCTCCTGAACTGGCTCCCACCCAGTAACCCAGAACCTTGTGTTGTCAGGATCTATGTGATCAAAGCACTGGACTTACAGCCTAATGATCCCAGTGGACTGGTATGTAATAATAATTATAATGATTGTGATGATGATGATATTATTATCTCCTACAAGGTCATTCATCTTTAATTTCTTTTAGGTTCTTGGCGGAGGTTTGCACTCTCTGAGTGCTTTTCTAGTTATTATTATTATTTGTATTATTATTATTATTATTATTTAAGTAACAATTATTTTTGCTCCTGAAAGTTGGATATGATAGTTCTAGAAATGAAATTGTTGTGATTCTAAAATAAGTACAAAATACATTAAAATAAATCCATGTGACTGTGCCAATTTAATCTTAATTGAATTTTTAAAAAATGACATGAATTTCAAATACTGGAAGCTCTCTGAAGAATATTTTTAAAAAGATTGTAAAAAGTACCACAAATATCCAAAACCTAACAAATTAGCCAAGACTTTGTGCTTCTGCAAACATTGAACATATAAAAAAAGATATCAGTTCTCAATCATAGTTTAGGTATTTTTTGCAACTGTCTTTTACTATCATCATGTGATGTTTAATATGATATCCTCCCAATATTTTATATGTATTCTGCTAATTGTGCGAGTACTATTGCATACAGTAAAATATTTTTTATAATTGACATCACATGATTATATTTCAGGCTGACCCCTATGTCAGCATACGCCTTGGCAAGAACTCTGTAAACAATAGGGATGATTATGTCCCAAATTCTATCAACCCTGTATTTGGAAAGTAAGTATTTCTTTTACATGTATTTCATATTATAGATTTTACAATTGTTTCACTCCAATAACATCTATTCATTCCTTTGTTTAATTTCATAAGATTTTGAGCTGTTTGTGTTTTTTAAATTATTAATACAGGAATTATTATTATTATTATTATTATTATTATTATTATTATTATTATTATTATTATTGTTGTTGTTGTTGTTGTTGTTGTTGTTGTTATTTTTTTATTATCATTGTTGTTATTATGAAATTATCTTTATTAATTTTGGTTTATAATATAAATGTATCAGTCAATCAGTCTCTATAAGTAAATGTTTGAATTAAACAAACACTAATAAGAAAATATTACATTTTAAAAAGCAATCTAAACTTGTCACATTCACAGAATGTTCGAGCTTGAGGCCACACTCCCCATGGAGAAAGACCTGAGAATCAGGGTCAAGGACTATGACTTGCTGAGCTCAGATGACTTGATTGGAGAAACCCTGATAGATCTAGAGAACAGGATGCTCACCAAGCATAGAGCTTTATGTGGCTTGCCTAAATCTTACTGCATGTAAGTAGAATCTTAATGGCATTATGTGAAGAAAAGATTATTAGAAATAGTTTTTTTCTCATTACTGACAAGGTTTTAAATTTTCATAAGTTTAAAGATATTTTTCTAGCATCAAGTTAAAGATTTTGCAATAGTGCAGTGTTGTATGTCTGCATGGGATTGCTTGTCATAGCCAGTGTTTGTATCTTAACCAAATAATACAGTGCATAGTTCATATTATGCAGTAATGATAATAATATTGTTTCAAGATTTTAAAGTTTTATTGAAATATATTATTATTATTATTATCCAGATCTGGGGCCACACAGTGGAGAGATACTAAGAAGCCTCAGGATATCCTTGACGAACACTGCAAGCGCAACAATCTGGCAGAACCAGTCTTTGTCACAGATGACTCGGTTAGAATTGGGAGTAAGCTCTTCAACCTCATAGACTTTGGTAAGTTTTATGTAGGTTATGAATGTATCTAATATTATTCTTAATCAGAAACTCCCTGATAAAACAAGCATGCAAATGTTTTAAGAGGGCTTTTCCTTTCAGATATATTTGTTTTAGGTTTTGAAATATCCGTGCATACAATTTACACAACTTTAGTCAAAGAAGTTATCAGATGTCAGCATGGTTGGAGTATTTTAGGATGTAATGTAAATAAAAAAAGGCGATATAACTTAAATTTTTTAGGATCTTGCTTGCCTTGAATTGCATGTGAAAATGACATCATAATATCCTTTGAATACTTAATTATGATTGATTTATAACACTTCTTTTAATTATTTCATGAATGATTTGTGAATATATGTATAATTAGTGTGCAAATAAGCATTTTATATGCTATATCACAACCTTTGTTTTACAGAAGGGGGACGCACATTCAATGAACACTATGGACCAAAAGAGCAGAGGCTTGCTCTCCATGTCCTCAACACATTTAATTTGGTGCCTGAGCACGTGGAGTCACGGCCACTGTACAACCCACTGCAGCCTGGTATTGAACAGGTTTGTATACCTTATTTTAATTTTTGTGTCTGATATCAAGTCAGTTAAACTAGAAGTTAATATTGTTCTTTAAATAAATATTTTCTAAAAATATAAAAGATGTTTTATTAATAGAGAATGATGACTTTACAGATTTTGGTGCAAAAAAATATTAAGATCAAATTTGCTTGGTGTACAGTCTGTTTCAGGCATGTCACTTGTTTCATCACTGTTGATGGTGACCATTGATATCATGATGTTATTTTTTTAAGCTGTAGCAATTGGGAATATTTTAATACAGTTAAAACTGTTGGAGAGTAGAAAACATAAAATACGCCTTGATTAAAGTAATGTTTTGAAAACATTATTTTGAAAATATGACATAAAAAATTTGACACAAAAAATACACAATTTCTTAGGGCAAGCTCCAAATGTGGGTGGACATCTTCCCCAAGAGCATTGGTCCCCCAGGACCTCCTGTGGACATTGTGCCCAGGAAACCTAAGAAGTAAGTTAGAAGAAAGTGGGTGTTGTTCTATACTGGACTGCCATAAGAATTGCCATAAGTCTTTTCTTTGTAGCTTGCAAAATAATCTAATACCTATTGGCTAATATTTTGTCTGGTTAGAGGCATACTTCATCGGGGAATGGGGTATTTTTAATCCCTCCCCCAACCCCTGGTGTGCTCCCCTGTGATTATTGTTATAAGATTATTTATTATCTAAAGTTTTTTAGTAGATTGTCATATTTCCATATCAATTTCAGGTTTGTCCTGCGTGTTATCATCTGGAACACCAAAGACGTGAAGCTGGATGAGGAATCCATCACAGGGGAGCAGATGAGTGATATCTATGTCAAGGGATGGCTGGCAGGGGAGGATGAGAAACAGAGGACAGATGTGCATTATAGGTAACTCGGGCTCATTTAATTCTCTCTCTCTCTCTCTCTCTCTCTCTCTCTCTCTCTCTCTCTCTCTCTCTCACACACACACACACACACACACACACACAACCTGCTTTATGCACTTGTCTTATTTCACTTATTTCAAATTCACTTGTGCAACAGTTTTATGGTTTTATGATTAATATGTACTTTAGTTTGGAAATCACTGGTCCAATGAAATTCCCAGCTCATAGAATTGATTTAGCTCTGAAATGAAAAATCAAAATTTAGAGCAAGGCTCACGTAATGGAAAAATTGAGTAGAATGTGTGCAGATGTGATAAATGTGTTAGTTGTACCTAGGAAGATGTGATTTCTAATTAAACCCAATGTGTTTCAGATCACTGGATGGTGAAGGGAACTTCAACTGGAGGTTTATATTTCCACTGGAATACCTACCTGCTGAACAGGCCATGGTGCTCAGGCAGAAGGTATGTGTATATGCATATCTGTATGTATATTCATGTATATGTGTGCCTGAGTGTGAGTGACCTTAAGTAGGTATGTGTGTACAGATAGATATAGTATTTTTCTTAAGGAGAAGGATTATGAAAAAGTATGTTGGTAGTGCAAGGAACTTTTATACAGAAACCAATTTTCATCCATTTAATATACTATCAAAGGTAATGTTCTTATTAATCATTGATATATTGAACATGATTAAATCAAAGGGATACATTTCAGAATTTATGAAAAAAATATTCTTTTCATGCTGTGTTTCTTGTAGGAACACTTTTGGAGTCTGGACAAGACTGAGAAGCATGTGCCCCCAAAGCTGATGATCCAGATATGGGATAATGACAAATTTTCTGCAGATGATTTCCTGGGTAGGCCTATATCTCCTGTCACCAACTCAAACTTTTATATAAAGATAACAGTTCTATTTATTTGCATGACATTACAACACTTGTAATGGATTGAAAGTATTACATTACACATAGTGTTGTCTACGTTGTGATTAGTTTTAAAACATTTGCTGTTCTGAATGCTATTGCTTGGTTAAATTTTACTGTTGTATTGGATATTTTTTTACATCTCGGGGGGGGGAAAAAACACAACTTTTTTCTTTGGATAGTCCAGTCACTTCAGTAGTTAAATTTCTTCTAATTTATATTAGCATAGGTTTATGGTCAGCACAAACACTTGTGTTGTGTCTGATACTCAAGTGAGATCATAAATTAAATTTTTGTCCTCAGGCACTCTAGAGCTAGATCTGAACCGAATGCCCAAACCCACCAAGAGGTCTGGCTCCTGTTCACTGGATCAGCTGATTAGTGCCCCAACCATGTCACTGTTTGAGGCAAAGAGGGCCTATGGGTACTGGCCTTGTTATGACACCACACCAGACGGGAAGAGGGAGCTTACTGTACGTTTTCACTGGTTTTTGATTATATAATAGCATATGTTTTATGTAGTGATGACAAAAAGTGAATTCTTTCTGACACTAAACTTGTTTTCTACCTATGAGACATGCTGTTTTAACCCCTTCAAGGAAAATACTTTTAGTCTTTTAAAAACAATTACTCTATATCATCATAAGTTTCTTGCATTACAAACTATTCATTGTAGGATACTTATAAAACAACTAAAATTAAAAGTCAAAAATTTGTAGTATACACGTAAATGTGGTGAACATTTGGAGATTTATCTTAAACCCAGGCACATTTCCAATTTCAAGAAATTGTGGATGACAAAAATACACATTCTGACATACCAAATTAATCCTGCTCCTGGCATGTTGTTCTCTTCAGGGCAAGGTAGAGATGGAGGTGGAAATCGTCACAGAGGAAGAAGCCGACTTGAAGCCTGCTGGGAAGGGACAAGATGAGCCCAATATGAATCCTCATTTGGATCCACCAAAGTAAGTTTTAAAATCTATTTTAGGACTAAACATTAAAGTATCATGGCCAGCTATTTCAAAAGGGGGGGGGGGGGACCTGTGTGTAAATTGTGTAAATTTTACCCAGGGCAGATCTTTTTCAAAAAACGGGCGCTTGTTTGAACCCAACAATTCCCATTGGCTACAGACCTGAATTATGTAATTAAAAGATTCAAAATTGTTATTCGTGTGAAGTACGAGTGGATGACAAATCTTTAGAGCATTAAGTTGGTGTAACTATGCACACAGCTGCTGCAGATAAAATTTTGACCCTCTTTCAGCATGCATAACCTATAGAACATGGTGAAATTTATCCATCTTTTTAAGAACCTCATGTTGATATATGACTGTGTGGTCCTTTCAGTCTTTAAGTACATTTTCAATTTAAGGCCATTATCAAGCTGTGATAACATAAAGCAAGTGTGTCAGTGCATGCACCATTCAAATCAATGAGTATGAGGCTATCTGTTGTATGTTTTTGTCAGGCATAGGCAGTTTAACTATGTGATCTAACACATTGACATAAACCATTGCATGTGAATCAAATTTCTAACTATTTGAGATGGACTGAAAGTGCATCTGTATTAAAAAGTAAATTGATTCTGAAGAGACTAATCATGCATTTTAACTTTGAGGCATGAGGTTTTGACCTTTCATTAGATATTTTACTCAATTGAAATATTGTTTCATTTCAGTCGCCCAGAGACCTCATTCTTGTGGTTTGCCTCACCGTGGAAGACACTCCGCTACATTGTGTGGAGGAACTACAAGTGGTACATCATTGGCGGACTGTTGCTGATCTTGTTACTTGTGCTGGTTATTCTGTTCATCTATTCAATCCCAGTAAGTTACTTAGCCCATTATATATGAAACGGTCAAGTTATTAATATCAAGTGTTGAAATAAAGGTTGTGGTTGTGAAGGAGAGATTTCACTTTTAGAATAAGTCTTCTGTCGATGGCGATACTGTGTAAGTAAGTAAATAGATGCTCATAGGTTTTATACATATTTTTATAAGAGACTTTCAATTAATTTAAGGAGATGAATGTAAGGTTTGATTTTATGACTAATTCTTAAAGAAAATATATCCATATTTTCATCATTTTATTTATGTAAAATACACTTTTTTTCTCTTCCAGGGTGTATCTGTAGAAAAGATCTTCGGGGTGAATGCCTAACTTAGAGAGAGAGAATAATTCCAATCTCTGTATGAACTATTAGAGAATGTCAATCATTTATTATATTATGCCAATTACCATATTATATGTTTATATATTGTTACCTTGGATATGGTATTAGAATTGTTTTTCAAATTAAAAAAAGTCATGATGAAGGACAGTGAAGTAGAGACTATGAAGAAGATTGTCGTGTGCCTTACTCTTAGAGACACAAATATTATTAGTAAAAGATTTATAATTGTAACCATGGATTTTGCTCAAAATGGATGTAGAATGTAAAAGTAATGTTATATTACTGCAAAATACAATTTTAAGTAATTAATGGAATATTTGTTATTTGGGGATATAGGTTTTGTTGCAATTCATTGGTAGAAAAGAGTATTATTGTTAAAGAACAAAGTTAAAGTTTTAGATTCTCTTTAACTTTTTTTATTTATGTTTTGGAATAATTATAATTTTTGCTAACAGATCTTTTCAAAAACAAAAATACAGCTGTGTGTCAGAACATTATATGAAAGATGTTGAACTTAGTGGGCCTATTTCAACTGCATGTTTTTTGATTTGATAACAGGGTATATAAATTATAATATATTCATTGTATGATATATTTCAATGAGCCAAATTGACAATGAGTATTGAAGAAAATCATTCAAGAAGTATTGTTTATTTGAAAATCGCAATTGCCTTGTGCAAAAATGCTGGTAATAACCGTATTTGGCAATACAGTGCAATATAACTGTCTCTTTCTGTGCGTTTTGCAATGAAGATCTTGACTAACTATACACTGTACTCATATTTGTCTTTCACTTGTTTGTGTTGTATTATGGTGTTAGTATTAATGATTTATTTCTACATAATTGTTTACACACATTTACCAGAACAAGGTCCAAAATTGAAGAACAAAACAATTTGTTATTATCGTTGTCAAAGCAATAAAAGTCAGCGTGTGATTTGACGTGTATGGCAGGTACATAAAATGTTTTACTGAAGTCTCCATATTTGAACATTCAGCAGCACATGTACTACAAGGTATGTTACTATGATATTTCAGTAATTATAAATGATTATTACTTTCTTTATGGTTAAACATTACTTTTTTCACATGAAAAAAACCCAGTAATTATGAGTAACGTTATTGCATGGAGAGAACTACGCGCAATCAGTATGATATTTCAGTTCAAAAAATTTTAATAGGTGTGATTAATAGTGGAATTTTTCCCAATATTGAATCCGTGCATGGATGAGTGCTACTGGACAGAGCTGTACGCAGTTACCCCTCATCCCGTGACTGATGAGATCGGTGAAGAAAGTTGACAGTTACTTTCCGTCTCTCTCTGCCGTGACCACTTCTGAATCACAGAGAGTAAAATTTCAGCGTGTGGGAAAATATATAGGTTTACCCGGAGGAACAATAGCGTTTGAAACAGAAATTAACAGCATGAATACGTTTATAAGGAATTGTATTTTTTTCTAGACACTTGGTAACAATAAAACGCGCAGTTCTACTCGCACATTTTCTAGTCTCTGTCTTGCGTTTCTTCAAATGGCATAAAGAAGTCGAACAAATGCGTGATTGAATTAGCTTTACCTTGATTTGAGCCCTTATCCAAGTAGATTAATCGGAAATGGTTTTGGCTTTCGTTACATAACAAACGAGATGTGCTTGTAGATATACCTGTATGCGCGCTGACCAGTTCAAACGAGGTGGACATGATCTACGAGAGAAAGGTTTTTGAACCCGGAAAACGATTAATAAACATTTAAACTGCGTGTGTCATGCTGACAGTTGATGTGGTTATGATTTTACTATGAGTTATGATATTTCTAAAAATGTCTTTTCGGGTGACTGTGTGTTGAGCGTCTGTAGGAATTTGATAAATGTTTCACTTAGATTTGACAGCAAGAGTACATCGTTTAAAAACCCGAGACCGCCTAAACATCTTCAGTTTATAGATAAACAAAAATCCAAATTAGGTTAACCACGACTGCCTAGGTCGAGTCGTGCGGCTTTGCCTACTGGAATATTTTAACGCTTCAATTTCACTTCAAAACTAAAAAGCATGACTGAGTGCCTTTTTTGCGGCGACGTGTTTATCATCATTTACAAACGTCATAGGCATTCTTCTGGTCTTTATTTCATGCGTGTTTAATTTGTGGCTGACGAGAAACATTTTTGTTGTAATTGTTTTCACAGTTGATGGCAAGCATCGCGAGGAATGCACCCCACGGTTGGTGTTATAATGGACACATTGCAGCAATCCCGATATTTTGATGCGCTACACTTTTTACAGTTCACCCTTTCTTCAATTTCAAATAATAATAATAATAGTGAGGTTTAAAAGGCTGTTATGTAACGACGAAAAAGGATTTTGTACTATTGGAATCATTAAAGATTGGACCATTGAAAAATAAATTAAAGGAGAAATAAAAAACGTGGCATTTTTAGTTAAATTGTTTCTCTTTCAAATTGCCCATTTCAACACATTTTATTTTGCTTGCGTGTGTGTGTGTGTGTAAGCTCACTGGCACAAATGAGCCTTTTAAATGGACATTCTATTGGGAAAGATGTCCGTCTAAAATTAATCACAAGACTGAGAAATGGCACTTAAACCAGGCCGGCACCTAAAATTTTAAAAAGGACGACCACCAGCGTTAGATGTTTGAAAATAGACAGAAGATGTAAACCACAATATCATAAAGCGTTTCAGACATCGTGCCAACGTGATGACACAAAACATCTTGTTCATTTCAGTCTTCCCTTGTTCATTTCAGTCTCCGACGGTTCTTCCCGAAATGGACACAGTCACGCTTCTCTCTGTCTCAGAGAGATGAGTAATGGTTCGTTTTCTTCCGGTCATATTCGTTGCCATTTGCAGGAACTGAATCAGAACGAACGCTCCTATAAATGTGAAAGGTTCCAGTGTTTGAACTCATTAGGATAATAAACTTCGAACAGTGAAGATCAGCTCATTTGGTTTTCTGTTTTATAACTACAATATCTCCAAGCTCGGGCTAATCTGACATTTTTGACGTCGAAATATCTGCTAAACTACCAGAAGTAATCTCTAGGAGGTAAATTGAGGAATTTCAGACCTCCCGTTTGTAAGAAAGAATTTACAGGGCTGTTGAGGCACCTGCCAATATTTCTTAGCATAACTTACTATATAATTACAGTACATTTCACCTGACATTGGGTGTCTGTATCAATTCAAACAGGATTGCATATTCGACAAATATTCCGCGAGAGAGTTGCCGTTCAGGATTAGGGCCGGGTTATATAATTGTTCGAAATCTGAGCGGAAGAAGTGAGATCTCAAGAGATCTATACTCAGGTGAAAAGTACAGATTACACAACGACCTCAGGTATACGGAGAAGAGCGACAACTTTCTACGCAGGAAGATGGAGGGCGGATTTTTCTTTAAAATGTTCATGGTAAGTTTGTTCAACAACGGTATATTAGTAAAATATTCTTTTTCATATTCCAGTGCTAATTTCGAGTTATTATTAGAATTTGTTATTTCATATAATGAGTAGTAATTTAATAATGAATACAATGAATATATTAGGAATTCCTATCCTATAAAAGCGAAGTAAGGACCTAATTCCAAGAAATATTTTTAAAATGTATTATTTAATGTTTCTTAATTATTGGCTACTTTTTCTTATTTGTAATTTTGTAGCCTGCAGTAATGTAAATGCATTTTTTTCTCATGTCTTCTCTTTCCAGATGGTTGTAACTATCAAAACAGCATTCAGTGCAGGTAAGTGCTTAAGTAATTCTAAACTTTAGAATTGTTTCTGGAATTATTCTTTACAGTTTCATTCAACTTTTTTAAAGATTTCCCGTGACATAAAACATTGTAATTATTGTCCATTTTAACAGTTTATTCATCACTGAGGTTGTATTTATGTATTTGTTTATTTATTTACGCAAAGACCCCATATCTTGCACGATTTACCGCAAATAATTCACCATCCCACTTTTTACCGAAACTTATCACTTCCAACATTTGGTGAACCACACGTTTTACTCTATCCTGTTCCTTTCCAGTGCCCTACTCCAACCCAAGAAGGGGAGATATCGGAATCGACTGGCTCCACGTCTCAACTTCCACAGGGTTCCAGTGTTACAAACCGCTGGATGTGGTGTTCCTTTTGGACTCGTCCCGTGCCTTTCAAGGTCACCGGTGGAACAAACTCGTCGATTTCACATACAGACTGACTGAGAGATTTCCTCTGGGTCGCCGCAGTGTTCGAGTCGGTGTCCTGGCATACGAAACGTCCCCGCATGCAGTGATTCCCCTCAACACCACCGCGAAACAAATTCTGGATAGTATTTCGTCCTTGCGTTATACGCAAACTGTGAAGACGAAGCTCAGGGCAGATATTGCTGGTGGTATCGACTACATGAAAGAGGTTTTCTTCTCAACTGATGAACGCTACGAGGCCACCAGAGTTGCAGTGGTCGTTTCCGACTATGATTCATTGGCGAATCAATCTGTCCCCCTTGCAATTAGAAGAGCTATGGCAGCTGGTATCAATGTCTTGCCTATTGGAATTCGTTCGTCTCAGTCAACTTTGGAGCTCTCTGGTAGTTTCTATGGAGAAAATTCAATCCAGCTGGGGAGTGTTAATGATCTTGACAGCATCACAGATACAGTAAAAAGAAAGACTTGCCAAGGTGTGTTTTTATTGCTTCCTTTTATTATATATATTGTTTTTTTTTCCTTTTTTGTTTTTGTTTAAAGCATGGAATTTGAATGGGTTATAAAGTACTGTGTGTTTTTATTTACACGTATTTTCAAGCTTCTTTTTCACTCCCAATATTTTCAAAGTTGTTTGTGTAATTAATGAGTTCTAACTTTAAGCAAAATTTGTATTTGCTTGAAAAACTATCCACCTGTTAACCTGTCTATTTTAACAGATATGCGCAACTGTTTTGATTATAATAATAAACTCGTATTTTTTTCTTTTTTATTTGTAGCTCCTAACCTTCCACGCTCCGGCGGTGGATGTGGAAATGGTTTCCCAGTAGATGTCACCTTCATCCACGACGCTTCCAACTCTGGACCAGCAAGAGCGCGATATTCATACCACTTCATGCAAAACATTGTGAGACAGTTGGACATCTCGGAGCAGGCCATTCAAGTATCTCTCCTACAACAGCCATGTTTACCGGTATTAGATTTCGGCCTTGATAGCTATAACGATAAAGACAGTTTGTTAAATTCACTGAATGTTGGTTCCCCTTTGGCTGTCAGTCATTTGATGAGAACAGCTAGGATGAGCGCTGCGCGTGTGGATGGGAGCAGGCGGTTTAACGCAAAGAAAGTTGCCGTCTTAATAACTGATCGCAAAATTAACGACATTGGCCCATCATCACGTGAAGCTATGAAATCTAGGCGAGCTGGCATGAAAATTATCGGTATCGGCATAGGGGAAGACGTAAGGATCGCGGACCTGAGGGAGGTATCTAGCAGGCCGTCAGGGGAGCATACATTTCACGTGAAGAGACACGAAAGCCTGTCAGAAATTAGGGAGAAGGTGTTGAATTTGATATGTTCATAGTTTGTGATCTTTGAAACTTTAACTTGGAACATTAGCATTATTTGCCAAGGTGGTGAACTGACTTGCCTACCTATACGACAAGTCTCTTAACTTGTCTTGTTGGTTCAGTTGGTTATATTTTAACCCTGTAAATACTTTTATTCTAGATTTGATAATCCAAATAAACTAATTGTATTATCTTTTGCAAGTTCGTTATTTTTATAAATTGAATTTTTTTAATTGTTTAAACGCAATTTGGTAGTGCCTATTGTAGTAGTATTTAGTGAAAACATTCTCTTTAATAAAATTTTTAATAATGCTTTTTATATCTCCTCAATGATGCAAGATTCCATTAAAGTAATAATTGGCAAACAAAATAAATATATTGTTTTTGTTAGATAAAAAAGAATATTCAAATATTTTTGCTTCAGAGAAATCCAAACAAAGAAAAACAATGTCCATTAGCTGAAAATAACACCAAGAGAATAAGTCATTTTGAATTATGTTATTTTTTTTTCAAAGTCACTAAGAAGGCTTATCACAGAATAATAACGGAAGATTTCTTAAACACATGAATTATATAATAGTGAGAAAACTGTTAATAAATAACAATTAACTGCGCTCGTATCGGTCGCCAATGGTATTCATCGCACAGCACAGCTTTCGATACGCTTTCGTGTCACTCTCATATTTCTTACCTATTTTTTAAGATCTTCTCTATGGGCCTCCCAGATCCAGTGAATATTTGCTTTAAAAACGTTTGTATGCGATTATCCGTTTCCCAAATAATGATTTCCGTTTCTAACACAGCAGAACTAAAATGACGAGCGACTAAAATATGCATTGGCTTTTTTTTCCATCATCCGCAATCCCTACGCCCGGTTCTTCATCTCTGGTTCCCTCACAGAAGTAATATATTGACTGTTTTTAAAAACGATTCTGGCAACCAGAAACCAGTGTCGTTTTTCGAAAAAAACCGAGAAAAGTGATTTAATGAAGCAACGCGCCAAACATTTTCCTTTAGAATTTTCAAAGCAAGAGAAACTTAATATACTTCAAATATAGACAAATTCCTTAAAATATTTTGCTCAGCTTTAATATGTTTGTTTTATTTATACATAAACAGTTAAAATATTAATTCTGTATAGTTTACTTATGGAAAATTACCTAAAGATTGAATGAAAATCCTGTTTTTTTTCTATCATCCTGCCCCAGTTCGTTCTTTCGACCTGTAAAAGCTGAATTATATACCCAGCCACGCAATGTCAAGTATGTTGACTTTGAAAATGCGCTTTATTTTTATTAATTTTTGTTGTTGTTGTTGTTGTTGTTGTTGTTGTTGTTGTTGTTGTGTGTGTGTGTGTGTGTGTGTGCGGTGTGTGCGTGTGTGTCATTATGACTTTATCAACCCCTAATCCTCTTTTGGACATGCCTTCTCATAAAACAAGACGATAATTCAAACCGAGGCGTCCGCACGGAAGGTAGGTGACCTCTTCATTTTAATGTAAATCAGGTGAGCGTTTCGGTGAGAGGTGTTCAGGTGGTACTTGGGTTAGAAGAAAATGGAGAAGAAGGATGTCCCATGCTATATTGCTGTTACTGCCACATGTAGGCCGAAAAGATGACACTGAACCCGGCAGCAGTATTTCGTAAGTCCCGTACAGATAATGGAAATGTATTGTAGCATTTCTTAGTTTTGCATTGACGATATTATTCTCCCGCAGTGGTGCACTCTATGCATAATGACCACGGGGACATCTAACTGACGTGAAGGATACTTTCTCTTAGCTATCCTCTTGGGTACCCTTTTGTTTCTGAGGCCATCAGCTGTCTATGTTCAATACGGTTCAATATGAATATATGTTTGTATAATTTTAAAGCTTAATTGCTATTTGTTAATTATAACGCAAAGAACACTAACACGAATCGCTGTAATGAACATGTGCTGCTTTATCAGATCTTAAGACATTGTTTCATGAATGTGAATTTATTCCTTTTATTCCAGTGACTCTAAGTGCCGTTTACGAAGATACCAGAAGCGTCCTACTCAGAGACACGTTTCGTGTTCGACACATACAGCCCCACATCCATGCCAAGATTGCCTCCAATGCCAACGTTTGTCTGCTCGTTAATTTGCAGGGACGACATTTAGTACGGAATGTTATGTTTGCTTTTGGTTGTAACATTCTGCTCCAAAACGTATATCAAATTAAAAGTTAAATAAAATAGCTTTTTCGTTTATGAAACTTCTCATAGAAATTAAATCCATACTAAGCGTCCGTCCTGCATGATGCTGGTTTGCTTCTTTTGGTAATTGTATGTAATTATGTCGTAGTACAGTGTTCTATCTGATCATTGTGATAATAGGGTAATTTATGTATACTTCTGGGCCGGGGCTGATACCCGTCCCTTTTCGAACCTGAAACGTTAGATCTGAAGTTCTCATTTAACAGAATGTCTGTATAAAAATGATAAAGTGGTTGTTTTAAAACTATCATATATTAATTTCCAATTAATTTCTGTTTGTCGCTGAAAATATGTGTGGGCAATTCTGTAACTTGACACCTCACTGTGAACTTGAAAACATACTCTTCTTCATTTTAAATGATTTTGGCTTCTGGTAAGGAAAGACTGCAACCGCATAGCGTAAAATGCATATATTAAATTTTAAATTACATTCATCGTGTGTTCAGTCGAAAAAGGAAGAGATGTAAATTTACAAAAGACACTGTTAATAAAACGTATGTCTTAGAAATCCCAACATTGAGAAACGGGCAAAATGTGCCCACGTTACTACAGATTTGTCCACATGTACTGTAATGATCTTTTAACAATTATGAATATGACACTGTGGCTTTGAATAACCTTCCTCTGGTTCTCGGTGTTTTCAGTGCTGGGCGTTATACAATGGGGTGGGGTAAAGATTGCCATCCGTAATAAAAATTAATTTAATATTACAGTAGTAGAAGATATTTGTTGCGTCTACCGTAAGAAAACTGTTCCTATAGTTGGCTACAAAAATTCCCCAGGATAGGGATCATATATATGCCGTTTAACATAGAAGTGTCGAAAAGTAAAAACGGGAAATGGACCTCATTTAGATATCGTTTGTCCATTAAAATGTTTCTGAAGGACTGACATTAATCATAGCCTTTTGCATTCCATTTTTTCAAAATCACTTGAGCTGTCGCAAATCCCAATTTTCGGGAGGTAATGAGTATTCTGAAAGGACTCGACGAATTTTTTAGACTGGCAAATTTTGTCAATTTTGCTCAAAAAGATAGTGAACAATTAACAATTCTAAAACAAAATCTATTTTTTTTTAAGATTAGGTTATACTATTTATCATTTTATCGGTTACACTAACAGTTTGGCCAGTTATATATTTAGGAATTTTACCGAATTATCAACTAAAAATGTTATTTCAAAGTATTTTGTTCCTTTAAATGGCAAATTCAATATTCTACCAAAGTGTATGTAAACCTGAATACTTCGTTTGGTTTGAATTTTGAAATTTTAAGTGAAAAACATTTGAATTTTAAGTGAAAACATGACCAAAATGTACAGAGGGGCGTTATAATTAAAGTTGTCCTGTATTCTTATAAATTTTAATTTTTTCAGGAGCAAGGGGTGATTGAGAAAGACAGGCTTGGTTAGATATCAGTCCTGCATGTTGTGTTATTTGTGCTAAGTATCATCACTGATCACCGAGAACCAGAGTTTATTTAAGTGAATGTGAAAAGTCACTTCAAGTTTACTGATTTATGCCTAACCTTTTCAGTTTTGTTTGTATGTTATTCTGAATTTGTTTAAGACTTGGATAGTCTTGTAAACCTTCCTTGTCTATTCGTCGTTCCTGATTCCCATGCTTTGAAAAAGTAAATTTTCATTCTACAGTCACGCCATGTATGATATTTATTTTTGGATTTAGTGCAAAGAAAACAAAAATTAAAAAAAGTATCGATTGGCAAAACAACCAGGAATCTTACAAACATTAAGAAACATCAACAAGACGACATAGGACAAGGTGTGTTTACATGCGCGTGTGTGTTAGTGCACGTATGACGCTTAAACAGATTATTTGCATTGTTACAACCTCAGAATTTGGACGGAAATGTATTTCTAATGGAATTCCATGAGGACAACGCACTAATGTCAACTTTGACAAAAAGTTGGCAAGTATAATTTGTTCAAAATCTATTTGGCTTTTAATAGTTCTTGCCAAAGCCTTTCAATTTTCATAAATTAAATGATTTTGTATTTAAGTAATAATGTTCAAAATGCATAAAATCTTTTTGACTTTTTTTTACAGATATATACCGTCTTTTTTCTGTTAGTTAAATTTTAATTTATATTAATTCAGAGAGCAAAATGTTATTTTCATTATTTTTGTAAAAATTTTAATGCTTTGAATATTTCATTTTGACAATAATAAACTTCGTTCAAAACTTGCAAAAATGTTTCAGCCTTTTCTAGAATTCGAACCCTTGATCTTCTGCTCACTATTCTGCTGTCTTATCCACTGAGCCACTCAGTCATCTTGATTAACAAGTGTTGCAGGACCCTCTTGTCGCATTTTAAATCACTCATTTGGAATTTTTTTGTAAAAGGTAATTTGCTGGGACCTAGAAGCGCCAGGTTTCGAACCCAAGTCTTGCTGGGACCGAGTCTCGCGTGCTATCCACTCTCCCAAGTGTTCCCGCCCACCCACCCCTGGTAGACTTTCCTTTTATAGTAACTAAAGGGAATTTTTCAAAGCCCTTCTGGAAAAGAATTTAATACGTTCCAAGTACCCGAATCGAACCCCCACCCTTAGAGTTCCTCCGAGCCAATGAAAACGCCAAGCCATTTTACATATAATTGTAAAGTATTTTATTCGGAGCAAAATAAACTTCCATTGATGTATTCTCATTTTTACAAACATCTACATGTTAAGAATTTTAAAAAATATTTTAATCACATTAAGTTTTGAACATTTAGATATGCAAAACAAAAATATTGATATCTGCATTAAGAATCGCTCAAGTTTGATTTGATAAATAAACTATCTAATGAACCACTTGGCTAATGTTACATCTTGTTATATTACTAAAAATTATTTCAGATATAAATAACAATCAGATTTTTTCAATTTCCCCTTTAACAAAAACAAAGGCAGTTCTAGTAGCTGTCTCACCTCACACCACCGCAGGAAAAATCGAAAGTTGAAGGTGCTTTGAATTTTAAAAGTCACAAAAATACTCCAAATTGCAAAGAATTCC